GAGTCATGTCAATGTTAATCTTTTTCTTTTAAAAAGATGAGAGAAATTAACACAGATTAACTTGTTGAGATTTTTTCATGGCAAAATTAGCAATACCATCTTCAAATTGGTTTTCGAACAATCCCATCGGCAAATTATTTCCTCTTTCGTGCATAGATAAAAATATACAAAATTATCGAAAATTTCGCTACATTTCATTGTAAGAAATTACACAGCAGTCAATTATTTTAATACACAAAGCAAGAAGCCAATAACAATCTCTGAACAGCTTGACCAAACAGGAATACAAGACAGAGACTACTAAGAAAGGAAAACATTCAATTATAATATAATTATATTAAGTATAGACCTAAGGGTTAAGTGCAATTTATTTTTTCTAATTTAGCCTAAGATAACAGCCACTTCTGCAATGATAATATATAAGGTAAACTGGGGGGATTTGGGAATTTATTTTTCAATGTAGTCATTTTGACAAAATTTGGTATTCTTGAAAAAAAACTCATATTTTTTTCAATCTTTTTGCTATTTAATTTGTTGGCTGCTGGTTGAAATTTTATGGCAGTTGTAACAAGTCGTTGACTCATTGTGAGGCATATTACACCTAAAATAAGTCAAATCTTTAAGCAAAAAGAAAAGCAATTATAGCGTTCGCCATGCGGTCGTCCTGTCAAAACATTGAATATGTTATCGATTAAAATGAACGGCATCATTTTAAAGTTGTGTCATCCGATATGATAATTAATACATTTTCCCTTCTAATATTTTTAACCTTACCATGTTTTTTATTCAATTATTTCAAATTAAATATGCTTATCTGCGGCACACCGTGCACTCCCATTGAAGTAGGGCACAGACTAAATAATAAACTTATCAGTAACGACATCTGTCCAGTGGCTGGAAGAAGTATGCATGAAATAATTGAGTCACAGTGACGGTAGTAACATAGGCAGTACCAATTCTAGAAAGTTATCACTAAGGGCCTACGAAACAGCAGTGCCTATTGCCTACAAGAACCTTAATCCGGCCCTGCACCAGTTATCTTTATATCGTATATACAACTGCCTGGTTAAAATAGTGCATTGGGCTCCTGACACATACATCTATATATCACTACAAATCAACTTGTAAGGTGGTACTGTGATCAGTACGATGTTAATATCCCAGCAACCTGAGCTCAATTGCCAGCCATGGCTAATATCGGCAGTGATTACTATCAGAAGCCGGTCTTGGGCATTCACAAATTTTAGCTTTAAATTAATACCTGGTGTGATGTGTGAACGTCAGCACTGGGGAGACAAAGGTGGCCATGCATGGGACAGCTATATTATCAATGTCAATAGGCCTACAATTCTAATTATGTTCTGCTCATGCTTTCAGGACAAAGCTCCTTGAATTTCATGTACAAATTTGGAGTTGAAGATGATGTTGGACCGCACCCCGGCATAAGGGTTATCACGAATAGACCATCAGCAGGTTAGTTGTCACAACTCATAAAAAAGCACTAAACGATTCTTTCCTGATACTTCCGGCTCGAGTCTCCACTTCATGGGCTGCCTGTAGTCCATATCAGGGTGATGTTCTTAACTGTGATTCTTGATAGATTGGTGGGGAGATGTAAACTGCCTCGCCTAATATGCAGGAGGTTCGTGGGTTCGATCCCAACACTGATGTCTGTATATTTGGAGTTTGCATGTTCTCCTTGTAGGTGCGTAGATTTTTCTCCAGGTCCTCCAGTTTTTCCCTCCACATTTAGAATCGACACGCGTTTAGATAATTTGGCTGCTCTAAATTTCCACGTGATAAGCCACTTCGATTAGCTGTTATTTGTGGCCTGTTCGCTTCTGAAAAATAGCTTTTTAAGTAAGTAGGCCTTGGCAAAATAACAAAGATATATTTTTTAGTGGTGATGGACATGCTCTACCTCGTCAATTTATTGTCTTAAGAAGCGGCCCTAAACCTAAATGCGCCCGGTAGTGGTGCGTGCAGGCACTTGTAAAGTATACCTAAATACCTAAACCTTCGAGATGGCACTACTCCATCGTGCACTCTATTTGTGTGCAAGTGATTATGGGCGCTGTGGCGCGATGTAAATAGACCACTAATTAAGGGCGTGTATCATGCATGTTTAGTGACACAGTACCAATTGCTTTCCAGCAGTAGCAACTGTGGTAGATAGTTAGCGCACACGCTGTTGAGCATATACATGGGTGTGCCGGCAGGGTGGAGGAACTGGGGCAAGGGTCATGGTAGACCTCATAGGGAGGTGCCTGGAATCCTCTGGTGGGTTCGAGAAGGGAGGCCCGGCTAGGGAGGAGCCAAGCCGCATTGAGTAGAATATAAGCGGAGAGCGAGAGCTCCGGGCTGCCGGTTCGGGGAGTGGACTCGCCTCGTTGTCGCTGTCGTCGCCGCCTTCATCACTGCCACCTTTGCCCGATCATTGCGCGGCCAAACAGTAGTTGGCTGTCTTGGTCGACGCCGTCGGTGCAAAGCGGGCAGGGTCTTGTCTGGGGCGGGTTGTACGGCAGCATGGTCGTGAGAGAGGAGGCCGGAGTTGGTGGTGTGAACGAGATAGAGATAATAGAGAGAGATGGTGCCTCCTGCAACTACCTCGTCTCCGACTGAGTGTGTGCGCCGCACACCACACGCCGAGAGGAAGGAGGACACTACACATGCAAATGGCAAATCTAGTCTACGAAAACTATTTCCTGGAAATTAGCAACCAATAGAGAGTGGTGATTCCTCAATCGCCGCATACAAATCGTTATATCGATTACTAAGGAGCACAACACCTCAAACCCACAAACCCGGTTACGATAAAGGTTAAGGTTACGGTAACGGTTGGGATTAGGAGCATGTGCTCCAGCACGGGCCACAGGACGGGTTGATGTACGGCTTAATCAATGGGTTCGAGCATGGGTTCATCATTAGCATCGATTGTAATTGCTTAATTGCTTCTGTATACGCTATCGCTATTATTAGTCTCGATTCCTGTTCCATAACTGCTCCTGGAAGACTCACGCCCAAGGATGTCGTTGTTTGGCCATGACACATTTCTGCATCATAATGCTTCCCTCCATATATTGTGAGTTATTTTGTTTAGCTTGACAGTGCTGTGCACCTGTCCCAAATTCTGACCGTCATTAAAGGTGAGCCAATCCCGGCTCTATCACATAGGCTACTTACTGCTCGTCTCTTAGCAACTCGACAGGCCCTTACACCACTACTCCTACAGCACAACAGTGAGTAGCCTGCATCATTTGAGTCCATTGAGAAGTGAATACAATGGATCCAATGAGTATGGTGAGTTGAATTGCCTTACAAGTTAATAATGTGGGGATGTTACTGTGTTGAGAGAACATCGCAGAGTATTTTCCAACTGAGTACTTACTGATAAAAACATTCTCAATACCCCCATTATTCTAGCTGTTTAAAAAAAACTAACCCCTTGTAAAAAAATATCCAAAACATTAATTGTAATTTTTTTAAGTATACGGTAAATAAAACGATGGTGGTGCGGTAATGGTTGGTGTGCTGGTCCTCAGCAATGAGTGGTGAATGTTGGTTGGTGATGGTTAGTGATTATGATTGATGATGGTGGTTTGTAGTTGAATGATGTATGTATGTGAACTTATTTTGCACCATACAAAGCCAAGCGTGATAATCGAAGGTGTGGGGAATGGACAGCAAACTAAACAAAGAGCAGTTCTAAAACAAATAGTTTTCAATTTAGATTTAAAAGTGGATAGCTCCAGTGGCTTCCTAGTATCGGAAGGAAGAGCATTCCAGACAGTAGCAGAAGTGCATCTGAAAACGCGCTATGCTTGACCATCATGATGTGCAGCAGTTGATGAGCAATGGTAAGTAATTGTGAGTATTGGTTCGTGATCGTGAGTGATGAATAGTCTCGAGTTGAATAATGAGTGGTGGTTGGCACGTGATGGATTTTGGTGAGTAATGGTGAGTGTTGATGGTGAGTGATGATGGTGTGGTCGTGGTGATGTCGAGTTGAATAATGAGTGTTAGTTGCTATGTGATGGGTGAAGGTGAGGGTTGGTGATGGTGAGTGATAATGGGAATGGTGTAGTAGTTGTGGTGTAGTATATCTGAGTGATAAACATACGTTTGTGAGTGATGGGTGATGGTGGGTCTTCTTATTTCTTAAGGCAGTTTTGGGGATTGCAACAGATTACAAATTGATGTTTATATTTGATATCCATTCGGCTGCTTCAGGAGTAGCTGCGTATATTTGTTTCAGGTCGCACTTGAATTATCTGATTGGGCAGTCGTTCACGATATGTTGAACGGTCTGAGATGTTGCACCACAGTCACAAAATGTATTTTCTTTAATTTTCCATTCATGGAGAAAGTGTGCACATCTTCCATGGAGTGTCCCGATCCGATTCAAAGAGGACCAGATCTTCCTCATTAGGTCAGATCCAGGTTGGAGGATGCTGACAGTGGATTTTTGCAGCAGGTTGGTGTTCGCCCAGTCTTCCCTTCATCGTGCTTTGGTGGTTTTGTCATCGTCATAGAGGTTCTTTGCATATTGACAGAAAGGTTTTCTGGATTTGAGCCTGTGCAGTGGTGGCACTAAAAATGCCCTTGTTTATTGGGAGGTTTGGATTTACAATGGCCTCACGGTACTCCCTCACGCACGCAGCATCGCGACAGAGCTGCGGAGGAGCGATGTTTGCGAGGACCACAACCAACAGCAGTGGTGTGCTAATTAGCGTCCCTGAGATGATCCTCATGGCTGCATTTCGCTGTGTATTCATCAGCTATGGGTGCATGCTTTTGTTCCAGACTGGGGCGCAATATTCTGCCGCAGTGAAGACTAGTGCTGTCGTGGCCGTCCGGAGCATTGTTGCGTTTGCTCCCCATGTCGTTCTGGCCAGTTTATGCACGAGATTAACTCGTGATTTTTTTACAGCAATATTCTGCAGGTGTTCACAGAAGGTGACATTCCTGTCGAGAGTTGCACTTCTCGTGGTGGACCTCTTCGGCACAGAAAGTGATGGCCAGTTTCTGGTCAGTGGCTAATGGTGAGTCGTGATGTTTGATGATGATCATGATGGGTTTGCAGGTGTACCACTCTTGGTGGAAGTCACCATTACAGGTGAAGACGCCAGCAGTGCTGTTGCTGAGACGCTGACACTGCTATCACCTGACGGTCGACCTCTCCAAACAATCCTGCTGAACGACACCAGCCCAGGAGACTATATTGGAAAGATTGACTCCCTCCCAGAGGAGCAGTTCTCTGTGTATGTCAGCGGGAAGGACTCGAGAAATGACACCTTTGGTCGAGTATTTCCAACAGTTTCTCAAGTCACCACAATAACACTGCAGGTATTTTCCCATCGTTGGCTACTCTCTTGATTTCTTGACTCATTTATTTATGTTTGCTCTTTCATTTCAATGCACTGTCCATTACTACAACAAAATACGCAGGCAGACAATATCGTATTTCTATATCTCTCTCTCCACATAAAATGTAAAATATATCTTGCACAAACCAATCAGGCACATGGTCTTCTTCGAGTGTATAATTACAGCAGGATTTATTCAAATACTATACAAGCAAACTCTGCACCAGTTTCTACATACAGAGTCTTAACAGCAGTCAGGCTTGCTTGAATCATCTCATGAGTTGTGTAAGAAAGTGTTATTTTGGTTGTGGAGAGACAAATATAGAGAGACATTTATGTATATTCTCCACAACGACGCTGCTTATTATTTTGAGTTATGTATTATATTATATTTCGTCGAACTTGGACCCATATCATGAAGATAGCCTATACGATCGGAAGTTCACCAGCATTGATTCCAGCAAGCCTGACTATTGATGAGAAGCTGCATGTCGAAACAAATAAAGAGTTTGCTTTACTTAAAGCAATTCTCCTGAAATTATGCACTCCCAGAAACCTGCGTGGCTGATGGGTTGTGTAAGATATTAATGATACATTATCTGCTTATTTATTGTTATTTATAATCTCCACAGTGATGCTTTGATTATTTTAAGTTACCCATTACTATGCTACTTTTATATTGAAATATATATGTGTATAAAATAAGTAATAAAAAAAAATGCGACCCCTGGTTTTATGGAACCATACAAAATCGTTGATTTGTTATGGAATTGCCTTCCACAGATTGTTTCACAAGCGCTCTACCCTAAGCTTATCAATGGCACTCCAGCCTATCTCAACATCTCCGTCACGAACTCTGGTGATGCCGACACATTCGAAGCTACAGCCAGTGCAGACCCTGGCTTTATTGTAACCATTTTCCCTTCGAACAGGTATCCAACATTTTCTCACACACCTATATCAATTGTTAAAAGAAGAAATAACAGCATCTCATAGATGCACACCTCATATACATATATTATTTCTGGTATAAGACATTGCTTATGACAAAATGGTCTATAACGCAACAGGATGGTCAAGAAAATCACCCAGAATTTAGGGTTGACCTTGGATAGTGCTTGTATGGGTGACCACTGTGCACAAACAGATTTGTCATAACACTCGTGGACATATGTATGGGCAGTAGAGGAAAGTGCAGGAAATCCATTGTCATACTTTGATTCTATGCTTCCACGTCAATCATCATCATCATCATGATAGATGGGCAGATAGCCCATAGGTGTCCACTGCACATTTCGTCAGTTGTTTGCGCTTTCTTCTGTCTTATGCTAATATGTTACGGCACCAATCTCTTATGTCGTCCAGCCATTCTCTGTTAGGTCTTCCTCTCTTTCCAGTTCCTGGCATTTTCCAAACAACACACTTTACATTTTCCTGTTGTCCATCCTACGTATGTGTCCAAATAGTGGCAGTTTCCTTCTCATAACTACCGGCATCAGGTCTTCTCCTATCTGCAATCTTTTTCTTACTTCTACAAGTAAGGGTCCAGCTTAGATACAGTATCTTTCTGTAGCAATATATTTTGAGTGCCAATATCTTATCTCTGTCAGTATTTTTTAATGTCGAAGTCTCGCAGACATACAAAACTGTACTGAACATGCATGTTCTTAAGATGTTCAGTTTGGTCTTGCAGCTGAATTGCTTGCTTCTCTAGATGTTACTGAATCCTTCCATTACTCCTTTTGCCTTTGCGATCGTGGCTCTTATTTATTTCGTGCAGGTATCCCATCGCAGTAGACTATACAAATTCCTTAACATTCACAATACTGTTGCTTTTTATTATTCCTTCTTTCTTAATGTCCTCCCTTCTGAACAGCATCATCTGTCTTTTCCACATTAACCCTCAGTCCTACATATTTTCCTGATTGATTTAGCCTATGAACACTTTCCATCAATACAACACGTCTTTCTTCCATCATATCTATGTTATCCGCGAATCTCAGGTTATTTATTATTTCTCCTTGCACAAATATTGATGTGCCGTTCTCCTGAATGGCATCCATCACTCTTTCCAAGTATGTGACGAAGTTGTTTGGTGATAGTGCATCTCTCTCTTACATACCTATTGTTGTTGGGAACCATTTCCCTGTTTCCTGTCCAAACTTTACTGCTGACTTTGACCTTTCACCTATATCCTGCAGAATCTGTAGCAGTCTTTTCCCTACTCCATATGATGTTAATGTTGCCCACGTTATATCTTCCTTTGTTGAATCAAATGCATTATGGAAATCCACGTCAATACACGCCACTTATTAACTTCCAGTGGATTTGAAAAGGGATGTAAAGTATTATTATGATGAGTAATCTTTGTGTAACTGTTTTTCCAATATGTTTAACTTTGTTACTGTGTAAAAATATATATTTTGTTGTATTTATAAACTTGGATTGGTTGGTGCTTGTGCAGATTCAACATCAGCAAGAACAGCTCCGTGATTTTAACGCTGAAGTTGGAAGCCAATTCCACATTGGGAATCGGAATGTTTGGTACAATTTCACTGGTAGTGCAGGGAGCAAACTCGACGTCCAACTTCATAGTCACTCAAGCAGAAATTATAAAGGTAATAATACTGGACAGAAAAATCGTGGCTCACCCGACCTGGCCGAGCTGCATTTTGCATTTATAGAGAACTATTCGAAATAAGTTATCAAATAAATCAACAAAGCCTCCCTCTGCAATTCTAGATTTAAAGCTTTCGTGACTGCTAGGATCCATACTCTTTGGTTCTATTGAGTAAAGTCACGTAGGTAAAAAATAAAATAACAAAAATCACGACGTTTCGGCCACAACACAAGCGGCCTTCATCAGGTGAAGGGACGAGACTGTCTGGAGGACAGCGCTGGAGTGAAAAAAGCCACGCTCAGATCACGACTTAAAGGTCGGTCACGACTTAAAGGTCGTGATCTGAGCGTGGCTTTTTTCACTCCAGCGCTGTCCTCCAGACAGTCTCGTCCCTTCACCTGATGAAGGCCGCTTGTGTTGTGGCCGAAACGTCGTGATTTTTGTTATTTTATTTTTTACCTACGTGACTTTACCCAATAGAACCAAAGAGTATACCTCCCTCTGCAATTACAGAAGCACGTGGACTACGTGGCTGTGGTGTTAGAGCACATGGTTATATTGTACTCACTGCAGAATGTAAAGCTCCATGTTTTATTATCACTCCTACCCAGTGCTTTATTTTATTCAGTCTTTTGTCAGTTGGTTTAATTCCCTCAACAGCTGTTTCTTGATACATTTTACTGTGTTTAGTTTTTTATTGCTTTCATTCCCTCAATTTTAATGCTTCTAGATTAATTCCTATTGACCAAACTTAATTTTATTACCAGGCATTGCCAATAGATCCCCTCAAGGCAAGTATGTTTGCCACCTGTCATGGTTTTCTCATTATCATCCTCTTTGAGGTAGATGCCCCGATAAATATGCAAGTCTTCCCAAGACATGTAAAGTCCCGCATTTTTGTCAGTTGCACAATAATACCGTGCTCAAGAGTGCAAACTGTATTGGCAAGATGTGATTCATGCCTTTAAAATACTGTAACGAGAATGAGATACGCCAATAATACTATGAATGGGAGGTTAGTCAAAGTGATTTAAGTTTAGTGTTCCATACTTGTAGGTCCAGTGAAAGTCATGCAACCTCTATTTGCCATTTGACAAGAGAGCTAGATGGTAAATAATAAAGTGTTTCAATGGCCAAGAAGGGTAATCATAAAAATATGAACCAGGGGTTTTACACATCACCTGAAATGCTTACGGCAGTTATACAATTTCAAACTCAAACAATTCAAAACGCCACTGCCTGACATGTTAAACCATATTATTAGTACACCAAACCCTTGTCAATCGCGAATTACGTTTTCAAAATAGCCGCAATTGGCAAATCCGCAAACTCAAAGACAAATGCGAAAACTAGGGTTTGGTTCACGCTTTGTAATACGACACTCCCTAATTTTGTTTTATATTTTTCATGTAAAATATGATTAATACTTTGTAAAGTGTTAAATATAACTTTTACAGTAAATGTATAGAATAGGAAAAAAATAATGTAAGATAAATATTAGGCGGCTGAACTTTACTGGCATCTCACTGGACGCTGGGAGCAACATGTGAACTTTGATACACTATGGGCTGTGTGGGAGACGATATGGAGAAAAGACGGCATGTGTATTCTTCCGCGGTAGCATGATTGCGAGCAGTGTACAGTAAGAATACCTGTACAAAACTTATTTACAATGTGTACAGGAATACCAGGGTCAACCGCGAATAATTGTGCCTTAGCGGTGCGATTGGCGAACTATGCATGACCTCAATAAATATGGTGCAAATGGTCAAATCAACGATGGGTGACATTTGGTGTTATATGATTGTATATATACTATGATGAGAGCAACATTTTCCACATGCCAAATATTAATTTATTGTTGCCCAGGTTCAAATCATAACATTCACATTTGTTTTTGTATCAACACAGTACAATGATGATGCCTGGCCTCTATGCGAAACTTTGGTGAAAAACAAATGCAGCAATACGACTGAATATGCCAAGTGCCGATCCAATTTATGGAACATAACCATCGGTTTTTATGACACGGGATCAGGAATTAAAGCGATTGATCCTCCTGGCCTCATGAATGGCACCATTGGTGTAAATGTGTCGAATGAAACCTATTCCGGCGACTGCTGCAACACAACTCTAAGCGTCAGCGTCACGGACATGGCAGGGAACACGCATATATGCTCCTATGACATGAAGGTACCGTGGAAACTGCACTCAGAGATATTAACGTACGATTTTTCCTCACATCATACATATGTGACAATCTTATTTTTTTGTTTTATACTGCCTAGTTGTTTTACAAGAATGTATATTTTTAAATCCTCCATATTGGAAAGTGATTCGATATTAACTGCTTTTTGATGCGTGCTCAAGTTCTTAACTTTCTTCTGTGACATTGCTGCCCTATGTTAATTATAGTTCAATAAATTATAGTAAGTCCAACATAATCATATGCTAAGTGTAAACTAAATTCACTATTGTTACATATATAGTGTGGGCTGGTTAGTTTAAACTCGGCATATAATTTTATTGACTCACTCTAATTATTCAACTGTAATTAACATAGGGCAGCAGTGTCACATTGGTTGGTGTATCTCACTACAAAACGGGCTTCTGTGTTTAATTCCTGGCCACTGCTGACATCATTGGAGGGATATCTGAAACTGACCCATCTTCCCTCAACACCCTCACTCCCACACGTTGCCAAAAGTAACGAATTATGCTCAAACAACCTCCCATGAATTAAACGATGAGCAGAGGCCCTCATTCAGCATTGTATTGACTGGATAAATGCACTATTGTTTGCATCCATTATGTTTTCAAGCATGCAAACAAGTTTATTTTCGATTTCACATATGTATTTTTTATTTTGGTATGGGCACAGTATGATGATGCATCTCTTCCGACCTGCGAAACATTGACTGAAACAAAATGTCTCAACAAGTTTGAGGACGCGAAGTGCAAATCCAGCACGTGGAACGCGACTATCCGATTCAATGACACTGGGTCAGGAATCAAAATGATTAATCCACCGGGTGACATGAGCAACATTGGCGAAAGAACCTTGACCAAGAGCTATTCAGGAGACTGCTGTAACACAAGTCTAAACATCAGCATCACAGACATCGCAGGGAACACACGTGTCTGTTCTTATGATATGAAGGTACCGTTGAAACTACACTCACAGATCTATTTTATTTACAAATTATATGTTATATTGGATTGGGCTAAAGGTTTTAAGAAAAATGACGAGTCAATTGTCAGTGGACAGATCATCTTTGCTGTAGGTAAAACCTCGCCAAACGGAGGGTTACATTCCTGGGAAATTCCATATTGGCCAAAACCAAGTGTGACAAATAATAGACGTTATGGGAAAAATAAGGCTGTGGTCCTGGGTCCGAAAAGATCACCCCTCCCTCTTTGTTGAACTAATTCTACATTATTTCCACCTTGTTATTGTAATCAAGGATTCTGAGCTGCTCTCCATTTCTGGTATGTGTACACTATTTTTCAATTTCACCTCAACACAAAACCCCCATCTTCATTACTCGACTTTTCGCAACGTGGCACTCATGCCCAACGCTCCCCACTGACACTAAATTACCAGCTCGACATTCGCTCCTCACACTGTTACTAATGATTAACCATTTACAGTGAGGGATACAAGTATTTGATCCCCTGCTGATTTTGTACGTTTGCCCACTGACAAAGAAATGATGAGTCTATAATTTTAATGGTAGGTTTATTTGAACAGTGAGAGACAGAATAACAACAAAAAAATCCGGAAAAACGCATGAAAAAATTGTTATAAATTGATTTGGATTTTAATGAGGGAAATAAGTATTTGACCCCCGATCAATCAGAAAGATTTCTGGCTCCCAGGTGTCTTTTATACAGGTAACGAGCTGAGATTAGGAGCACACTCTTAAAGGGAGTGCTCCTAATCTCAGCTTGTTACCTGTGTAAAAGGCACCTGTCCACAGAAGCAATCAATCAATCAGATTCCAAACTCTCCACCATGGCCAAGACCAAAGAGCTCTCCAAGGATATCAGGGACAAGATTGTAGACCTACACAAGGCTGGAATGGGCTACAAGACCATTTCCAAGCAGCTTGGTGAGAAGGTGACAACAGTTGGTGCGATTATTCGCAAATGGAAGAAACACAAAATAACTGTCAATCTCCCTCGGCCTGGGGCTCCATGTAAGATCTCACCTCGTGGAGTTGCAATGATCATGAGAACGGTGAGGAATCAGCCCAGAACTATACGGGAGGATCTTGTCAATTATCTCAAGGCAGCTGGGACCATAGTCACCAAGAAAACAATTGGTAACACACTACGCCGTGAAGGGCTGAAATCCTGCATCGCCCGCAAGGTCCCCCTGCTCAAGAAAGCACATATACATGCCTGTCTGAAGTTTGCCAATGAACATCTGAATGATTCAGAGGACAACTGGGTGAAAGTGTTGTGGTCAGATGAGACCAAAATAGAGCTCTTTGGCATCAACTCAACTCGCCATGTTTGGAGGAGGAGGAATGCTGCCTATGACCCCAAGAACACCATCCCCACCGTCAAACACGGAGGTGGAAACATTATGCTTTGGGGGTGTTTTTCTGCTAAGGGGACAGGACAACTTCACCGCATCAAAGGGACGATGGACGGGGCCATGTACCGTCAAAGTCTTGGGTGAGAACCTCCTTCCCTCAGCCAGGGCATTGAAAATGGGTCGTGGATGGGTATTCCAGCATTTCTTTGTCAGTGGGCAAACGTACAAAATCAGCAGGGGATCAAATACTCTTTTCCCTCACTGGAGGAGTCTATATCTGTCTACGTCCTCAATGAGTTCATGGCTAGACGCATGCAGCATTGTGTGAACATTTGCGTTGTGTGTGAGCATGTTGAGTATGTGTTACATTCTTACACAAAAACAAACACAAAACATACATGGCAAATAAGTCGTTCACACAGTCGATTAACAGCATAGTATCTTCCAACGGATCAAACATTCACCTCTTGCAAGCCTGTCTAACAACTGCACTTTTTGCACTAGAGTCATCACTTTTCTCAGCTTTTTCTCACTACAATCACTACAACTCAACTCACGTAAGAGGCCACGATTAAAAAGTGAGATCGCACGAGAGTCTTTGGGAGGGAAGGTGGCGACAATATATGAAATCTCAGCATATACGTACAGTATAGTAGAAGGGGATCGTGTGCTACTTGTTGACATGGAGATGAGAATATGAGTAGCATCAAACTGCGTATAGCCAAAACATCACCCCCGTGTTCCAGAAAACAGACCTCTTTAAGTAATTAATGCGCAGAGTAGTGAATCACGTGGTGCACAGCGTTAACGGAGGGCAACTGAGGGTAAACAGGTGTGCGTGAGGTTTGCACGGACAAACCAACAGTTGTAAGGGGCAAACGGGGTCGACCGGTTGTGCACGTTGAGACCGGAGATGTTGCCAGATAGACGGGAAATAAGGGTTGATTTATGGGCCAATAGGCGCCAGCCTGGCGAGAGCTTAAAGCAGGGGTGGGCAAATCTTTTGACTCGCGGGCCACAATGGGTTCTAAAATTTGACAGAGGGACCGGGCCAGGAACAGATGGATGGAGTGTTTGTGTGAACTAATATAGATGACATGTAAATATCATTACATGAAAGGATTTGGCCTTTAACAGGTAGCAAAGCATTTATTTGCAAGGCAATTTAACAAACTGCACGAACATGACCAATACAAAAACATGTCGTAACGTGACTGATCAAACATCATGAAAACATCTGAGGCCTGCGCCCAAACCAATTACCTCACTTGAATTTCTTTATTATCTACATTAACAGGTTAGAGCAACCACGCAGGTTGTGTGTCGGAGATTTGGCTTCAACCTCGCTGCAGCAACACATCACTTTCAGTTTCAGTGGGAACAGTGTTGTTGATCTCCCATTTTTGCCGGTGCATCCAAGTCTGGAGTTATTTTGGTTGTGGCAATTCTCAGGATAGATCTGAGGTGCTGATCCGTTAACTTTGATCTGTGACGGGCTTTGTTGGCGTTCATGACGCTGAATGTCTGCTCACACACATAAGTCGAGCCAAACAAAGTCAGCATCTTCTGTGCAGTCCTCCAGTGGTTTGGAAACGTGGCTCTGTTAAGTGAAGCATAAAAGTCATTCAGTTGAACAGAGTTAAACTTCTCCTTTAGGACGGAGTCAGACTGAAGATCTATCAGTTCCAACTGCAGCTCCTGTGGTGCTGTTTCAGAGTCTTGTGACAGGGGACAGGACACCAGCTGAAGTGACTGTTCAATGTTTTCGAAATCAGAGAACCTACGGCAGAATTCTCCGTGCAGGTCCTCAAGAGATTTGCTGTATTTTTTTGCGTTTCGCGGTGCCTCTTCCTGCATGGCAAGTGTGGGGAAATGAGCGAAAGATTTGTTGGCAATTTGTCTGGAGAACAAAGTGAGCTTGGATTTGAAGGCTTTCACATGTTTGTACATGTCGTGAACAGACTGATCTTTCCCCTGCAGTTTCACATTCAGCGCATTCATGTGTGAAAATATGTCCACTGCAAACACAAAGTCACTAAGCCAGTTCTTGTTGCTTAGCTCAGGGAATTCGTCAGATTTCCCCATCAACTCCAAAAATGCGATGATGTCCTCTTTCAGCTCCCATACACGTTGTAACACTTTCCCCAAACTTAACCAGCGGACACGAGAGTGGTACAGCAAGTCCTGATGATCCGCATCAGTTTCCTCCAGGAATGTGATAAACTGACGGTGCTGAAGTCCCCTTGCTCGTATAAAGTTAACAAGTTTTACGGCTGGATTCACGACATGATTAAGCTGCAATACAGACTTACACAGGGATTCCTGATGGATGATGCAGTGAAGGAAAATAAGATCATGGTCATGGTTTTCCTCTTTCACTTTATTCTGGATTATTTTCAGCAGCCCAACATTTTTCCAGTTAAATTTGGCGACCCATCCGTTGTGACATTGACAAGTTTACTCCAAGGTAGCTTCATTCTTTCGATGACAGCAGACACCTGGTTATACAAGTCCTTTCCCCGCTTTGTTTCTTTCAGGGACTCCATGGTCATAAACTCCTCTGTTATCGCAAAACTGTCGTCAATGCCTCGGATAAAAATGAGGAGCTGTTTACGTCCCTACTTTCATCCAGTGCTAGTGAATATAACTCAAAGGAATCAGACTTTTTGTTAATTGGCTGGCTATATTTTCATCAATCAGTTCCACACGGCGAGTCACAGTCCTGCATGATAAACTGACTTTTTCAAATTTGCTTTTGATCTCCGGACACAAGATGTCTGGTGTCTGTACCATGCATTCTTTTACAAACTTGCCTTCAGAGAAAGGCTTGCTAGCCTTTGCTATTTCGAATGCCACCAAAAAACTTGCCTTGGTAGTTCACTATTGAATCGCAGTTTGTCGGTGAAAAAATGTTGCTGAGTCTGTAAATTAGCCGCCAACCTCTGAGCCGTAGCCGCCCATTCTTGCGTTGACTGCTTGCTAGCGTAGTTAGCATGCTTCGTAGCAAAGTAACAGCTGATGTTGTACCCCTTGAAAACTGCGACAGTTTCTCGGCATATAAGGCATACAGCCTTCGATTGGACTTCAGTGAAAAAGTATTTTGTTGTCCAATCCGTGTTAAACACTCGGCACTCATTGTCCACTTTTCGTTTCCTTGATCCGCTCATTTTACAGAAGGGCTCACAGGGCAAAGAGAAAAAGTGAAGGGAGCACCGTATCTAACTCAGCAATGTAAACAAACCCTGAAAATGGCGCTGACGGCCCACAATACATTGCGAGATCATGTGCCCTTTCGAGCCCTATACACCACACTCCCGGTCAAAGTGCGCCATCTAATGGGGAAATGGGGGCATTACAGGAGAAAGGTAAAATTTTATTTAATAATAATAATATTTGGACAAGTTTGGCGGGCCGGATTAAAAAGCCCAACGGGCCGTATATGGCCCGGGGGCCGTACTTTGCCCATGTCTGGTTTAAAGAGACGCACGAGAAGTCTCGGATAATTGGCAGGGGAATATAAGGGCATGTGCGTGAGCGGAGCGGGGAGTTGTTGCCGGGGACCAAGTGTAAAGACATCTCACCGCTGCCGCTCCAGCCGTCAAAGGGACCTCAACCCTCACGCCGTCGCCGGGCGGGTGTTGGCTGATCCCCCCGCCCGGGACAGACGGGTGAGTGGGTCTGAGGGAGCATAGGTGAGGGCAGCGGCAGGGAAGTAAAGATGCTGTGTGCGAAGATGCTGCGTGCGGAGATGCTGTGTGTGGAGATGCTGTGTGCGAAGACGCTGTGTGCGGAGACGCTGTGTGCGGAGACGCTGTGTGCGAAGTTGCTGAGAGCAGAGCTGCTGAGTGCTGGATAAGGGAGGCGAAAGGTAGATAAGAGTAGGGAGAAATTAACCATAAGTGACCGTACAGATAGTTACAGGAGTGCCTACAACTGGTGCAAGAATAGGTGAATAAAGTGTAAGCAGGTGATTTGTTATAACGTGTCGGTGTGAGTAATTTTTAAAGACACTACACATGTATAGCTGAAACACGCATTTGATGAAACCACATTTGGCAATATTTTCCTGTAGTTCCTCATGACGACAACATGAAATTTAAGTCATTGCTCAGCCACGAATTATTCCAGCAGATGTTCTTGCTTGAATCTGGCATTCACCTGTTTTTGTAGATATGCTAGTGTTGTTATTGAACTGTTTGGTCTTTGTGTAACAACTCTGACGACGATGTAGTAAGGGACCCTAGGCTTTGTGCTTGTCTTCCAGCTTGTAACTTCCTCCGAACGTCCCCACTCCTCGTGCTCTCCCCTTTTATATTTGTAGAGTAGGAGTGAGTGACGTCATGTCACGCTCGCCCTCTGGTACGATGACGTCACGGATGGTGAGTCATCGCACAGAGGGCGGGACGGGGACGTCATGTCCCCCTGGGAGATTTAAGCTTGAACCCGTCACAGGTTCAGGGTCGTCTGGAGAGTCCGGGAACGTGTACTGCACAGTCGGGACCCAGGGTAGGGGGAAATTGGCACCAGGCTAGGGTAGCCTGTGGGTGTGCTAGAGACCTCCCCAGTACCCTTCCCCTGGGGTAGCGATGGGACCCCAGGGTAGGGGTAAATTGGCACCAGGCTAGGGTAGCCTGTGGGTGTGCTAGGGAATCCCCAGTACCTTTCCCCTGGGGTGTGGAGTGTAGGCAGTGAGTGTGCAGTATACAGAGTCGTGTGCGAAGAGAGGTCTTTAATAAAACAACTGGCGTAAGCCCTTAATAAACGTGGCGTGAGCCCCTACACGAAGATCTGCCTCCGAGTCATCATTTACGCCTCAATATATTCTTCGGGCTCCCTTTCTGGAACCTTCTTGTCCTTGTTTTCCCCTTAGCTAATCTCTGTCCTTCCCCTATAATGGATACTCTCTGTTTTCTGATTGTTCTCGTACAAACTTTATTCCTCCAATGCCCTTAAATGTCTGCCTCCCGACCAATCACCGTGAAGGCCTCTTTCTACCATTTGGAGACCTTTGTTTATTTACAAATAACCGTTAGGCTGCATATTGGCTTGGGGTAATTTTCGGTCATTACACATGTATTCCAATCAGTGCTGTGCAAGTATTTATGTCATGACATTAAATGTGCAAAAGCATTTTTAATATTTAAAAAATATATATGCTTGCAATGTATGATGCAGATTTATCTCAGTATTTATCTCCAAATTAATGCAATATCTATATCTCTTCCCCCACCCCATCCATGGGCACAGTATGATGATGCGTCTCTTCCGACCTGTGAAACGTTGACCGAAACAAAATGCTCCAACAAGCTTGAGGATGTCAAGTGCAAATCCAGCACGTGGAGTTCAACCATCCGGTTCAATGACACTGGGTCGGGAATCAAAATAATAAATCCACCTGGTAACATGAGCAGCAACGTTGGCGAGAAGACGTTGACCAAGAGCTATTCCGGAGACTGCTGCAACACAATGTTTAGCGTTAACATCACAGATGTGGCTGGGAACTTGCGTGTGTGCTCCTATGACATGAAGGAATCCACGACATCGGCAGGGTTTACTGTTTTCCATATTGGCATCTGGGAAATGGTCATATTGGCATTTGGCCTGGCCTTAAGTGGAATCACTATTGTCATGTAATTTCAAATGCTTTGACATGTGTAATGAAATTAGTTTGTTTCGTGGGAGAAAATGCAGTCGTTTTCTGCATGTTTTGTGCTATTAATATGCCAACACAAGACCTGGCAATATATTCACACTAACTCAGCCAAGTATGGTGTGAGTAATAAATAAAACAGAGGGCAGATAACGTGGTCTCCTCACGCGTAAATACTGGTAGTGGGATCATTTTATTGGCTTGCTTTAAAATATATATTTTTGAATTATACTCTGCCCTCTTTTCATATTTCTGGTATATATATAATGAATATGGATAGACGTGTGAATGTCGGTGGATGTCTCAGGAGACTCGTGCCTATGAACCTGTATACAGCTCATGAAAATCATGTTGCACTATAAGGGGTCATCCATTTAGTACGTACGCAAAAATCTGTCAAAACTTGACCCCTCTCCCCCTCCCTGTACGCACGCGTACTTTTTACACCCCCCCCCCACCTGCGTACGTACGATTGACGCACTCCCCCACCCTCCTATAGAACGGACGATATTCAATCCACGCAGAAACGATCAAGGTTGAATAATATTCACGTGTTTAAGCAAACAGATAGTCCACCGCCGAACTATCTAATTAATTTGAAGGCCAATGTAGACAAATTGTTATCGAGGTTTCTCCCCGCCCCCCACGTTTCCTATGCGTACATTGTCAGTAGACCCCATATGCAAGCGTACGCATTTGGGTTAACCCCCCCTCCATGCGTACGTACTAAATGCATGGCCCCTAAGTGGTGGTTTACACGTTGCTTTTAGAGGTGATTGTGTTATGCTGTGGTCACTTACCTACATTTATTTGATGATTTGTAAATATTACCTTTTACGTTTTGGTGTAAGGTTTTACATTCGGTTGTAAAATATTTCTATAAAAAGGGGTGGGGGCAGCTCATAGCCATGCTAGGGAGGCATGTTCCATGAGCCAGGAAGATCCAATAAACATTTTAAGGGACTGTTGTTGTATCCCTTTTTTAATGAGACACGTGAGACATTGTCGCATTTGCAAGGGCGATATGGATTATATCAAGAAACAAGGTACAATATATTGTTTTAGATATTGAAAGTTAACTAAATGGAAACTGCATTTAAGAATGAATGAAATGAATACACTGAAATGTGAAAAAGACTAAGTAAAATGCTACATTGCACTTAAAATATATATAAAACATAATTATAATATATAACTACAAGGAGACAAATGTGACTAGATTAGGAAAGTCGAGGTAATGGATATAATTGCATAACGTCATACGAAATACGATAGAAGCGTTTTGCTGGTTGGCTGTCTGGCTCGCGTGGGGGCAGGAAAATTGTGCGTGCGCGGTGTTGATTTCACAGCTCAGAGCTGCGTGATGACGTCACTCGTATCCTATCGCGTTGAACTGGGTTGGTGCGTGTTGACGTCACACTCCACAGCCACCTTCCACCCCTCCAACGTAAATGCGTGGGCAGTGCTAGTATTATTTTTAAAAGTTTACAAAATAGCTTAGGGGCCGTCCATAAATGACGTCACGCGATTTTGGACAATTTTCACCACCCCCTCGTCACACGGCGTCACAAAAAGTCAGACCCCCACCTCAAATATGACGTCACAAAGCTCTGCCCCCCCCCAAAAAAAAAACCATGCTTCAAATCGCATTAAACTATTGTCATTGTAGTGCGTATTTAATGTGGCGCTGCACTCTGATGTTCTAGGACAAAACATTAAAAAGTCTATTTAATTAAGTAGAACGTTTTGTCTCTATTTAAAGTTGCGAATTTTGATGTGACGTCACATTTCTCAACCCCCCCCCTCGGCCCCTTAGGTAGTCGCAAAAACAGTCGATACAAATATTTACGAAAGTTTACTTCAAGCCTGTTATATTTTTGTTCAAACTCAGATATGGAATTGAATTTATATGCAATTTGAAGGCCAATTGCTTCCCGAATCGAGGGGCGTCAACCAAAAATAATGCCAGACTAAACCAATTTTTTTTTCACGAGGTACGATGCATTTAAAAAGGGTAGCACGCCTTAGATCGTGAGGAATTGTATCTGGATATCAGCAACAAATATGTGGCATTAACTTACGTGTAAATTAACTGAAGACATTTTCCCTAATGCATTTCACTCCTGTTTTAGAGAGGCCTAACACCAGACGTTGAATAACATATCACAGTGATGGGTTGAGTAATTGGCATCAAGGGTGAACAGTAAAGTGGAATGAAAAGTGTTGCTTTACTGAGTCCAATACTGAGTTTAAAGCAGTACGTACGTATTTGTCTGACCTGGCAATAGTTTAGAAGGCGAGGTGCCTCCATGTTCTGTTGTGTGGCATTTGGTCTACTTTTCCACGCTAACCAGACGTTTTGGCCGAGGTATGGGCGTACACACACCACATGCGACCTTCCTATCAATTACCTCTGGTGTACCCATTTATACTGACAGGAGATGAAACAGAACCAGCGACCTCTGGATTGCAAGTCTGGTGTGGTAACCATAACTCCATGACTGCGATCTCCGTTTCTCAGTTAAAAAGGTAAAATATTTTAATGGTTACCAGGCATTTCTATATGTGTGGGAACCCCATTAACGAGGTTAAACCCACTGTTTCCATTCGGTTATTGGTATTGCAAAAAAGATTTAACAACCCTAGTTCAGAGTGCGTTGCATGAATGACTGCAACACCACTGCCCCAAACCCCCTCTCCAGCACACGCACACATGGCATGACTGTAGGTTATTGGCCGGTTGTCATAACATTCCTACTTGTAAACATGAGGTGGTGATGCACACCTGTAAACTGGCACTGTAGGCAAATAGTGGATTTACATAAAAGTTGCGAAACTACCTTCCCGTGGGTGTTGAGGTACTTATACCCTGCCTTTCCAGAAGGGTGGTACAGCAAAGTGTGGTCTAATCTCTATTTGTTCCATCTGTATGGAATAGTGTTTCACCATTGCATGTATGGCATTTCTCTGATTTACTCCCGCATCTATGAACACTCAGTGATTGGCTGAAACTACATAACCATAGGAATGTATTAGCGGTACACTGGTACACGGTATAAAAAAAACATTTTTCGCAATCATTATTTTCCCGCGATTCGCAACCCCGGTCAAAAAATCTCGTGGGGCGAGTCAAAATCGGTTCTCATGTCGAAGCAGTCGGAAGACTAATGTTATGAGCGGCTGAACACGAAGCTTCACAGTCTGTTGCCGTATAGCACCCAGCCTGATGGCTATTGGCTCCATGTTGCAAAGGCAGATTTCACTCGTGCCCTAGACTTGGTCGAACGGATCTTCGATTCAACGGACCCAAATCAACGGTCAATATTGACATTTTCTAGCAAGTCTCAATAGACTGAATAAACCTTAAAATCGTGTCAAACTTGGCAACAGGGTCAACTAAAGACTGATACACAGATTTGCGTATTAAAATTATAGATTTTAGACTGTTTTATGAGGACCGGTGTGTTATGCTGCGCTGGTGTGCCACTAACACGTCCATATAGAATACGGCAGGCCTTGAACAATTGCTGGCGCCGGCTCACTGCGTGACGCCTTCCCACTTGTCTGTGGTTCCTAATGCCTCTGAGTCATAGTCTCTCTTCGTGAGTGAGCGAATTTTGTGTGCCCAACAAGCCGGATTAATATACTGTATTTAATGATGTTTTAACTGCCAATCTACCTTTTTTAATTTAAAACAAAATTTGAAAACAAATTATCTTGTGGTTTTCACACCTGATGATGATTGCTTGTGTTGCAGTCGAAACGTCGTGAGAATTGTGTTTTATAATTGTATTATTTTATTGTTTTCCTTCTACGTGACTTTACCGAAATAACTAAGGATATGCCAATATACCTGTTTAGTGCCAAAAATGAACTTCAAAAAATACAAACTTAAGTCAAAGTACGGCTGCAATCATGAATAGATCGACCCTTCTCCACATTTCTAAGCAGTAACCCTCACACTGCAACATACAAGTTTGCAAGTTTGAATCTGCGATAATGCTTTCACGATAGAGGTGACATTTTCTCATGTACAGTCTCAAAGTTTATATTGTCTCACATATGCGTGGAAAAATAAATGTGATGCAAATTAGAAGGGGAGTCAGAGAGGATGACATGCACTCACCAAGATTATTCACAGTGACATCCGACGATGTTTTCTGAAAGTGTGACTGGAGACATAAAAGCAGGCAAGAGACAATAATGGGCAGGGCTAATATTAGGCATCTCAGATATGCAAACACCATCATCAAAATAACGTCCGATGGGAATGAACGACTGAAAATTATATAAAAATAAAATTTGCAAACAACGGTCATATGTAACAAGATCCCTAGAGAATTGTAAATATTGGGATACAAATGGAAAACACAACATAATATGTATACCTACGAGACTTATCGAAGGTGGACCCAAATTAACTAAGTTGACCCCTTCACCCACCAATGTAATGGAGTGCAGTGTTTCAATTACAACACAACTGCAATAAAGCGCCAACCGGTAAACTGGTAATAGTTTTCAGAATAGATTACTGGCTGCAAAGGCCCAGAACGGGTAACGGTTTGCAGATGAATGTTAGTAATGAATGCACCGATTGGCAAGCGCAAATGTACACACCGGATTACGGACAAAATAACATTTCCCTCGTTTCTTATTTAAAAGTAAAGATGCAATCCTGCAATTTCTTGCTTGCTTGCTCAGGCCACTCCTGGTAGAACAGCCCCCACTAAAAGCGAGCTATAGGTAGAATTCAGTTTGCTCTTTTTCGCTAACCAGACATCTTGGAATAGATGGGCGTAGCCAACACATTTCCCCACCACACGTGCCCTGGCAATCGACTGTGGAACACCCATTTATATTTCTGGTTGGGCAGAGGCAGCGAATTTGAGAAACGTTCCGCATTGTTACAACTGCCACCCCGAGGGATTGAATCAGCGATCATGTTGAATGTGCATACCATTACACCAGCACCAAATTCTCATCCTGTCTAAAAACAGAATCTGCAGCCAGAAGCTGGAAATTTGATGTATAAACATTCACATGGGCTGTGATTGGACACACTGTCAATGTCTGCACCACAAGCATGTTCCATATTTTCCTGCATTGACGCTCACAAGGCTGTGAGTGTGGCCATGCACGTTCATAAAGTGTTGAGGGTGAATTGGTAAATCACGTAGAGATAATGTGCTACAATGCATTTCTGAATGCTCTTATCATCCCAATAAAATACATATAAAACACTTTTTTATTCTGTAATGTATATTCCTACAACCATTTATATTATTAATATTGTATTGAAACCTATCGAAGCTTCCATTTAACACGCAGGCTTTTGCGACCAATATCATTCATAACACAGTTTTTTGGGGGTTAGATCGCGTAAATATATAAAAGTGTCGTTACGTGACAAAGCTTCCTAACATAAAGGGTTAACGGGATCTTCCACCCTATACACTACGGAGGTATCTCCTCCAGAATATCGTGCCCTCACATTGGTTAAGCTCAGCCGTAACACTGGTTAAGCTTTAGCCAGACCCTAACCAGGGGTTCGGGTTCTGCCCTCCGAGCTCTTCCTTAGGGCGAGTCTTCGGGTCTTCAGTGGCAGCTCCAGGTCTTCGAGTGTTCAACAGCAGCCGGACCCGTTCAGCGGTCCGGCTTTTATAGTCAGTCCCGCTCTCTCCGCCCCTGGCCACGCCTCCCTTCTCGAACCTTTTTGAGGCATCTGGAACAGGTCCCGGGGTCCCCCAGTCCCCTTCTTTGGGGGGCCCACCCCCGGTACCTCCGGCCACTAGCCCTCCGGGTTCATCCGGAGTGCCATGGCCTCCTGTCACTCCTGTGCCGCTCCAAGCGCTCTCGCCCCCTAGCCTTCAGGTGCTGGCACTGCACCCGGAGTGCAAAGTCGCACAACAGCCGTGCTGTTGGTGGTGTGAGCAGCGTGTCCCCTGCTTCACACACAGGCCGGCTTTATGCGACGTGCAGTGGCATCCCCTGATGCCACGACACATACATTAAATTTGCGTGTTTATTATTTTAAAACGTGTCTCTCTTGAAAATAAATGACGCAAAAATGAACAACACATTTTCTTTTTTACAGCTACCGTTATAGCTGTCACAAAATACATTATCTTTTTAAAGGACCGAATACATGTATATAGTACAGGCAATATAAGATAGAGGAACATAGCATTTCAGCAAGGCAAGGATATAACAGTGACTAACGCACAATGCATGGTATTTTTATGTTACACACACTTGGTTTGGCATGCAACATTTACCTAAAATAGGGTGGGACCAGTAGAATAAAAACCCTTGCTGTTAGTAGCTCACTCATTCTTCATAATAAAGGTTTTTGGGTTAGATCGCGTTTATTTATAAATGTGTCGTAACCCTCCACCACCCGACACGGCCAATCAGCAAAAAAAAGTGTCACGTTGACAAAAGACAAATAATTCACTACTTCAGCCCACCGGTGTGTTGAAGAGTTAATCCACATTTACAGTTTGAGTACGACGTTTCGCTGGTAAATACTTCCAGCATCATCGGGCAATTCGCCAGAATGGTAAAGCCCTCGCTTGCTCCCGGTTTTATATAGAGCAGCAGGGTGACGTCATCACTTAACTCATCAGGTGCAGTGATTAGAGGCGGAGGGGGGGGGTAATGTAATTATATAATCGATTAGTAATCAGTCATTGGTTATGATTAGTAATGAGTTGTAGATTAGTAATTCTTTAAATCAAAATGTAATGTGTATTATTTAATAATACGCTTCCAGGCCGCACTAAGCCGGTAGCTGTCAGAGCGATTAAAGTTATTCTTGTTCCTCTCAATTTCAATGGATTCTCTAATTAGTCTTTGCCAGTAATAATTAGTTTTACACACCACTGCAACATTGTCAAAATCAATTGAGTGTCCTTGTTGACAAGCATGTTCTGCCACTGCCGACAGTTGTGTTTGAGATAATTTAATATTTCTCTGATGTTCTTTTAGTCTTACGCTGATGTTACGTCCCGTCTGCCCAATGAGAGAGATTAAACACGTTAAAGACGCACTACGACAGAATGGCTACAATAATGCTCAAATTAACAGAGCACTGAATGCCAAATCACGATCGCAAAGCAATACTACTGAAAGCGACCAGATTGTTAAAACAATAAAAAAATTCCATATATCTCAGGAGTAACTGACAAATTAGCCCGCGTTTTGCAAAAGCAAAACATTACAGTAAGATTTGGTACAGTACACAAAATTCAAAAACTAGTATCTTGCACTAAAGACGCATTACCTAAACTATCAACAGAAGGTGTATATCGGATTAATTGTTCATGTGGCAGCTGCTACATTGGGCAGACGGGACGTAACATCAGCGTAAGACTAAAAGAACATCAGAGAAATATTAAATTATCTCAAACACAACTGTCGGCAGTGGCAGAACATGCTTGTCAACAAGGACACTCAATTGATTTTGACAATGTTGCAGTGGTGTGTAAAACTAATTATTACTGGCAAAGACTAATTAGAGAATCCATTGAAATTGAGAGGAACAAGAATAACTTTAATTGCTCTGACAGCTACCGGCTTAGTGCGGCCTGGAAGCGTATTATTAAATAATACACATTACATTTTGATTTAAAGAATTACTAATCTACAACTCATTACTAATCATAACCAATGACTGATTACTAATCGATTATATAATTACATTACCCCCCCCTCCGCCTCTAATCACTGCACCTGATGAGTTAAGTGATGACGTCACCCTGCTGCTCTATATAAAACCGGGAGCAAGCGAGGGCTTTACCATTCTGGCGAATTGCCCGATGATGCTGGAAGTATTTACCAGCGAAACGTCGTACTCAAACTGTAAATGTGGATTAACTCTTCAACACACCGGTGGGCTGAAGTAGTGAATTATTTGTCTTTTGTCAACGTGACACTTTTTTTGCTGATTGGCCGTGTCGGGTGGTGGAGGGTTACGACACATTTATAAATAAACGCGATCTAACCCAAAAACCTTTATTATGAATAATATTGGTCGCGAAAGCCTACGTGTTAAACTCACTCATTCTTGTCTGTGTAGTTGCATGATATCAATTACATGGGAAAATAACTCAGCGGATAACGTTAGCTTTGATTTTTTTTCGTATTGTCTTCGTGCTATCGTGTGTGTCGTACTGTCAATTTGTTTTCTGCTTCCGCGTGTATCATTCATTTCAAGATAGGGCTTGTTGTCAACAACATCAAAAGGAGGACACACTGAGGAAAAAACGCAAGTATTCATCTAATTGGCAGTGCATATAAAAATTCACTGACACCTCGTATGGTAATAACGACGTTACAGGACTTGTGTCGTTTTCCGTGTGCCTTTCCTCTTCCGTGTCTTTATCCCCGTGTTATTTCCAAGGATCTCTCTCTTTCTACATCTCTCTCATTTTGTCTCCGTTCCATTTCTTATTTTCCTTGTATGTGTCTTTACGTGTGTCTCATCTCGTGTATTTTTCCCATCTCTTTCCTCCTGTGTTTATTTCCCTGTCTCTCAACTCGTTTCTTTAACTGGACTCATCGAGTTTCTCTCAGCCCCTCTCTTCCAATGTCTCGTCTCCTCGTTCTTCTCCTGTGTCCCTTCTCTTGTTAATCTCCTTGTGTCTTGACTGTGTGTGTAGAGACTGCAGAGTTAATTTATATAATCGTTACATATTTTGTTTAAATTAGTTAATCAAAGTATGGGAGGGGTTTTTGCTGAATATATATAATATTGATTTTACAATTATATTGATTTTACAATCCCAGCTATGAGATGGGGGTGGAGATACAGACTTTATCTCGTTATATATACTCACAGAAGCATGGGGAGAGAAAGGCATAGGTAGAGATAAACACACGGAGACACATGGAGAAAAACAGTGTTCATAGACACAGGACAGACATACTTCCTGCGACCCTCCCTGATTAGCTGTTCTGATCGCCTATTTAACAAATACCAGTATATGTGACGTTATGGATAAGACAATTGTTAATGACAATGTATATCACTTTGCATCTTAGTAAAACATCGGACAAGATGAACAACTTTTTTTAATTAGAGCATGGCCAATATGGAGATAACATTCAAAGCTGTATCTGACGACAAACCTGTTTAGTGTTTGAACATCTTTACACCTGTTTTATTACCAGAAAAGGTAAAGCCTATTCTTATTTTTTTCATAATGTTGACACTGGCCAAAAGGGGCCATAGATATACCTGCTTAACCCGAGCTATGAATACTTTGATACTTGCATTGCCTTTGTACGGTACGCCTTTTTGCGTTCGCTGGTCTAACACTGATGAAACAAGGCTATAAAGGAGGCTCTCTATGGTGTCGGCCTATCAATTTCAAAATCCATGCATATATTATCAAATATAATTAGAAAATGTGTACAATTATTGGAACATTTAACGTTTCTCAACTTTATATGAATACATTTTCATTGAATAAGCAGAGTTGGTTTTGATCATTCTTATTAGTAACTCAGTGAATGGTGACTGTGCTGCGACTATCAAATTAATACAGTAGCATCAAACGTGGCTGTCTCGTTGGAGCTTAGTATCTCAGTGGTGCCCGTTCAATTCTCTGATCTCTGAGCCACCCAGCCATCTCTGAGGCTTAGTGGAATTATAATTTACTCGCATTTTGGTTTTAAATGGACGGGTGTTTTTAATAATTGGGCAAAGGAAACAGGATTTAATCAACTTAACTCAAAATTCTGTATAACCAATTAGTTATATAAACACATATTTAGCAATTGTAGGCCTAAACCGTTGCTACCGACTAACCACATGTATTTTGTCATGCGACCCAACATGATGCTTACATGTAATATACGTAAGTATAATACAATCCTATTTTAACTGATCACGTTGAACACTGTGTCTCGGTGTATAGATGCGAGCGAAGGGAGTGGTGGGGCTGCTGCTGGCTCTCTCCTTGTTAGCCGGACGAGCAAATGGATTCTTCCCGAAAAAATGGCTGGCCTCCTTTGCATCGATTTTCGCAAAAGAACGCACTATTAGTCACGTGCAAATGACCACTACAGCTATCGAGGTGGTGGTGGAAGAAATGGCAAAGGTACCAATAGATGCTTGGTTAAACAAATATTTGTTAAGGTCTTGTAAAGCTAACTACAACTGTATCTTCCCCTATCCTGAGCTGTGCAAACTGTGATACCCCTTGATGAAGTTCAGACAAACCACTTTCCTGTTTTCATCTGCCTATACAGTAAGTGTAATGTCTAATTAATTAGCTTGATTATAACTGTTGTATTCTGCGATATGTTTTCCTTACACATTTGCAAATCACTCATTGCTTGCTTCCTACATTTCCTATACTTTCTACACCCCAGTCTTACACGAGACTTCCCCAAAGCATATCTTTCTCAATCTGATTGAAATATAAATTTTCGCTCATGTAAATCATCTTGTGGGTGTGTTTTAATTTGGTACACGTTAAAATTGATCTTCTCTCGAAAAGTCAAGCAGAGAGCAACAAACCGCCCTATTAACATATATTATAGTTAGCACACTTCTTGAATTAAGAAAGGTTTTAAAAGCTTGAAATAAGAGAGGAATGTATATTTAGTGATTACATGTTTTGTTTCAAACATGCACATCACATTGGAGGCGCTCTAAAATGTAATTACAATTTAATAAATCAAAACATAATGGAACATATATTTAGTAGCATTTTAAAGATAAAGATTCATATTAATCGGATGCCTTAATAGCATGGCATCTCAAAGTTCTTTACAAAATACAAAACGATGCAAATACACACATCAGAAAATGAGAACGTTAGCGGCCGAGCCAAAAATAAAAGAACAATTAATGAGGGAGGTCATCAAAAAAAGGGTCACTGTGCACCTTTTACCTAACTAATAACCAACGGGAACCGTTTGCTCGTAGGAAGCCTCCAACTTCTTAAATGTGGCTGGTACTGCAACAGAAGAGCACAAGTATTCAGTGGCAAGCGTTCTGAACGACGCTGTCTTCGCGAACGTGCAAATTATGATATTAAAGCACGCCAATAATGAAATAAAAATAGAATATATTCAATTGCAATATGTTATGCCCCCGTTGCCTTTACTGATTATCAAAAGTATGTGATACATTTGACCATATGATCTTAGCTTCTAGATTGTCAGCTTATTGCATAAGCATTAAGGTAGTGTGTCGGATTTTGGCTTACCAAGAGGGAATAACACTGTATAAAGTCACAATTCATCAGATATCTCTTCGATATGAGGTTCAATAGTTCTGGTATTTGCATGGTATATATAGGTATTACTATGGCATGATAATTGTTGCTATGTTTGATCTTTGTATATGTTCGGTTTTGGCAATATACTCTGCACATATTCTTTGGGTCTTTCGGGAAAGCCACGTAGATAAAAATATAATGAAAATATGACGATCTTTCGATCGCAACACAAGCAATCGTTATCAGGTGGAAAAAATTAGAGGGAGAGCTGCTTAGGCAGGATGTTATAAAGGTTTGAGATGGGTGTAGCCCAAGGGTTATAAGCGAAGTGGGCGGGGCTAGTGATGACATTTGCATGTAAATGGAAGATTGGAGAGCTATCTCCATGACGACGACCAGCAGAGGTGGCCACTGTATTGTGAGAGATTAGCATGTCAATGTAAGATAGTAGAGCCACCGCCACATCGAGGAAAACGAGCCACGGTGGCTGTGTTAGTGAGACATTTAACCTGTTAAATGTAAGATCGGAGAGCTACCTCAACAACCGCCATTCACCACTAAGTGGCGGTGATGTCACCACGACGCTTGTGCCAGGCTATGTGCACCTTGAGGCCACGTGAAGTGTCGAACGCCCGCTGGCAGGAGGTCACGGGGCAGACCCAGATGCCACGGGCCGACTGACTGAGACGACTGGCTGATGCACCACTTGTGCCCCCTACAGTGCCAACTTGCTGTGCTTTAGACACCCTGTGCTCTGCTCATTGTTGTGAGCGTCGCTCCTCCGCCCTCCGTTGTTGTTGGAGAGCGACTGCCTCCAACTGCCCAGTAGCGTCCTTCACGAGCCTCCTCCACAGAGGCCAATCTTGACACCGCTGGTACCAGTCATCGGCAAGTCCACTCAGCTCCATATCCGCCTGTACCAAATCACTCCATCTCTTCTCTAGCCCATGCCGTGCCCGTTTTTCCCCCTCGATCCAGCTGAACAAAATCTGTTTAGGCATGTGGTGGCTGGGCATGCGGGCTACATGACCCAGCTAACGCAGCATTGCCTGCCAGAGGATCTCGCCGATGGGACTTTGTCCAGATCTTTCAAGGATTTGTGAGCTCCTCACACAATCCAGCCTGGTTAAACCCAGGATGGATCGTAGGCAGGCCAGCCTAAATGTTTCTAACCGGCAAAGATGTTTCATTAGGGGGGTCCACGTTTCGCAAGCATAGATAAGGGAGGGAATGACCGTGGCCGAGAAGACCTGAAGCTTCGTGCGGAGGAATAGACCAGGTAGCTTCCACACAGCGTTAAGCAACCGATGAAAAGATAATGCCGTTCGACTGATTCAGAATGAGACCTCTGCTGTTAAACCAGAGCCGGTCATGAGCACACTGCCAAGGTATGGGAAACTCTCCACTCTCTCCACAACTGCCCTATCACCAATTGGGAGTTGTGGGGGTGGAGTGTCCGATGGTACAAAATACCCAGGCAGGTGCTTAGTTTTGGTGGGGCTGATGGTAAGGCCCCACCTCTTGGTGGCAAGCTCCAGGTTCAGCAGCAGTGTCTCCAACTCCTCCTCTGAGTGAGCAGCAATTACCAGATCATTGGCATACATAACGTGGTTGAGCAATAGCGAGCCATCCCTTGACCGCATCCGGGCATCGATTATCCTCCCTTTGCATCTGTACCAAATGGAAATTCCTCTGGTACAGCTATTGAAGGCTTCAAGAACTACGTGGTCAAAATAGATGTTAAATAATATGGGAGCCAGAGGACATCCCTGTCGCACCCCAAGGTGTACAGGGAATGGCTCTGACTCCCGGCCAGAGCCATTCCCTGTGATGTGGTGTGGATGCGCTGATGCCGGAACAGCGTGTTGGTAGTTACAAGCCCATGGGCTGCACAAAAATCTAGCAGCCTCTTGCCGTTGTTATTGAGCTGATCTGACCCATGCCTTCCAATTAATTTAGACCAGGTGCCAGCATCATGACCAACTCGGGCATTGAAGTCACCCAACAAGATTATTCTATCCTGAGGGGCCACTTTAGTTAGCACCTGTGACAGGAGGTCATAGAAGGCATCTGACTCATCGGCCTTGCCTGCATCCCTCCACGGATGTTCGTTTTCAGTGGGGGCATAAGTAATCACGACCACCACTTCTCGCCTCTGGTTGATAGGAAGGCGAGCCCAAATTAGCTTGGGGCTTACATCTTCCCACACCTCACCACCACTCTCCCATGCCCCCTTCATTCTTTTATTCAGAAGAAGAGCCACACCCTGTTGTTTGGCAGTCTTCTGCCCCGAGTAGAGGACTGTCCACCCCTCATGGTGGCAGGAGGCGGTGCTGGTCCAGCTCCCGACAAAGGAGTGGCAGCCTCTCCTCTGCAGTGAGCGTTCGAACATTCCACGTTGCCACACGTAGTGTGATTTCATTTTGTTTCTGGAGGAGCCCCGAGTTTAAAGATTCAGTCTTCTGCCTCCGCCAAATGGGGTTTGGCCAGGAGACGTCATAGACGCCTGTCCCCCCAGCGGCCTCCGGCACAAGTGTAATAAATGTTTTAGCTCGTAGTTTAGTGGTAGTTAATTGAAGGTGGAGGGGTTACCAGCCCCTCGCACCCATCCAGAGCCCCCATTTGGCTGCTGTGGTGGTTACAAACGCCATGAGAGGAGAGGCCAATCTGAATTGGTCTTCCCCCCATGACAATGGCCACAACAGCATTGCCCATCTGGCACCACGAGGAGGTAGGGGGTTGTTTTGCCAGACAAACACACACATACATAGACTCACACGCACATGGAACTACGCACACAATGACTTACACACACACATATGGACTTACACACACACATCGACTGACACACACACATCGACTTAAACACGCACCACACACACACACATAGACGTACACAAACAAACGCAGCGACTAAATTTCGATGTAAAGCTTTCGTGACTGTAAGGATTCATCTTCTTTGGTTCTTTCGGTAACGTCACGTAGAATGAGAATAAAATAATAAAATAAAACAATGAAATTCCCACGACGTTTCGGCCACAACACAAGTAGCCGTCCTCAGGTGAAGAAACAGGACTGTCCAGAAGACAGCGCTTGAGTGAACCCTGTCAAGCTTGACAGCGTCTTTTAAGCTGTGTGGGAGGAACAGAGAGCCTTGACAAACGAGCATTAACTGGGAGATTAGCATTACGGAGAGCGAACGAGCTGGGACTGGAGGAGGGAGGGGGAGTTTACATATAAATTAGCATGTAACTGGGGGATCAGCATGATGTTGGTGTGAGGGATTAGCACCACGGCGAACGACGAGCTCGGACCGGGGGACAGGGGGAGAGGAGTTTACATATAAATTAGCATGTAACTGGGGGATTAGCGTTGGTGTGAGGGAGAGAAGAGCACCAAGGAGAGAAAAAATGGCGGTTTTCCCATCTCCAAGGACAGCGACATTCAGGCGGACGGGTCAATCCATACTTGGAAGGGAGGAGGGGGGAGGGAGAAACAGTCACAATGCCAGCGAAAGAGCTGCGGTCTGACGGTCACTGCAAAATACAATTAATTAAGAACGGAAATGGTTTAAAACATCTTTCCAATGGTTACTAAGCCAGAATCCATCCTCTCGGTTGAAATTGTCTCTGTGTTTGTATATGTGGATGGCTTCATGAACGAATCTCTCATGGTAGCCGGTTGGCTTGCAAAGAACCTCCGTCTTGGAGAAGTCAATGTCATGTGAACCCACTGAATTATAACAGTACCCGGGCGTTTACAAACTAAAATGCCTCTGTGGTAGCAACTACATTGGGGAAACCAAACGACATATATCGGACCGCATACGCGAACATAAAGCAGACTTGAAACATGGCAGGACAAACTCTTCTGCCGTGGCAGATCACTGTTATAATTCCGACCTCCGGCCCTTGTCAGTGTCAGGTCCGAACGGCCCAGTGGCGGTACCCGTTAAGCAGAGTATAGTGTGAGGGCACACTAAGTATGAGGACGTATCCTCTAGGCCAGTGGTTCTTAACCTTGTTGGAGGTACCGAACCCCACCAGTTTCATATGCGCATTCACCGAACCCCTCTTTAGTGAAAAATAAAATGTGATTTTTTTCAAATTCAAGACATAGATATGTTTTTTACTGGTACACAAAATGAGCCGTGCATGAACATTACCTTGTTCAAAGAATAAAACCAACACAATGCATAAACTCACAACAAATTACATACCTGGAAATCAATGTGACTTCTGCTGTTGCCTTTGAGAGATCAGTTCAGATATGCGTGGCTTCACCTTGGCAAGTGCCACTCTCATGTCATTTTCACAGCAAAGTCTGTTCCTTTTCTTCGTTTTTATGTCCAGCATCCTCAAAGGATTGCTCACAAAGATATGTTGTAACAAATGGTATAAAAAAATCCAGGGCTTTCTTAGCAATAACTGGATACTTGTTCATTTGTCGACACCAAAACGTTGAGAGCGTTGTTGTTCTGAAGAGTTGCTGTTGAACCTGGCTCTGCTGAATTTCAATGATTTCGTCGAGGAATTCATCATTCACATCTGCTGTTTCAACAGCAAACGTGAACGGCTGTCTCACCCATGCTGGATATGACTCTCTTGTAGGGAAATATCCGTCGAGAGACTTTGCAAGCTCATCTAAGTGCGTGGCAATTGTTTGCTTCAGTTCCGTGGATACAGAAATATCTCCGATTCCAGACACATCTTTGATCTTACTTGCACAGTCGTCCAGAAGCGGGAAGTTTGCGAAGTTATTGTTCTCTGTTCGTCGTTTCCATAACGGTAGCTTTTTTTGAAAAGCCTTCAGGTGTTCTTCCGCTTCCATGATATTGACTCCACCACCCTGCATCTGCTGATTGAGATGATTGAGAGCTGCGAATATATCAGCCATGTACGCTAAAATGAGAATGAACTCAGGATTTTTGAAGCAATCTGCATGGCAGTGTTGGTGCTCTTGCAAAAACAGGGCTAATTCCACACGCATGGCAAAAACACGATTCAGCACCTGTCCCCAGGATAACCACCGAATATTAGAATGGAGCAGAAGTACCTCAAATTCAGAGCCCATTTCTTTACACAGCTCACTGAAGATGCGGTGCCTCAGAGCACTTTTTCGCACATAGTTCACACATTCCACCACAGTTTTTAATACTTCTGCCATTTTTGGAGGTAAGGTTTTTGTTGCCAACGCATGCCTGTGCAGAATACAATGCGTCACAATGATGTGTGGTGCATCGGCCTTTACTAGCGCACCAAAACCAGACTTTCTTCCCAGCATGACTGGAGCTCCGTCCGTACAAACTGCAGAAACCATATCCCATGAAAGATTGTTGTCTCTGAAGAAGTCATCCACAAGCTTCTTCACATCGGCTGCCTTCGTTGTTGTTGTAAGAGGCTTACAAAATAAAAACTCTTCTTTTATCATGTCGTCTTTCACATAGCGTACAAAAACGGCAAGCTGGCTTAGATCAGAAACGTCTGTGGTTTCGTCGAGTTGAAGGCTGAATTTTGCCGGGCTTGAAATCAGATCCGCGACTACTTGAGCCAAGATGTCTTTACTCATGTCTTCTATTCTGTCACTGACGGTGTCATTTGAAAGGGGAATTTGGGATAATTTACCTTCGGCCGCTGTTCCGAGTATCAGATTCGCCATCTTTAATGCAGCTGGTTTCACAAGTGTTTCACCAATGGTGTGTGGCTTGCCCTGCTTTGCGATCAGGTAAGCAACTTCGTACGATGCTGTCAGGATCGGTTTGTTAACAGGTACAAATCCAAGAGCAGGCAGAGTGGCCCTTTCATCGAATCTGGCTCTCTTCACCCTGAATTCAGCAAGTGTTGTGTTCTTGTATTCCCCGTCTCCATGCAGCTTCAAGAAGTGTTCCTTTAGTTTTGCCGGTGCAAGACTAGAGTTGCTCAACTTGGCGTTGCAAATCATGCAGATAGGACGCTCACTCCCATCACGTTCCGTGATACATGAGAATCCATGTTGTACATATTCGTCCGACCACTTTCTTCTTTTGCCCGACATAGTTAGTATGGATAAAATATTAAAGAAATCACACGACGTACGACAACAACAGTCACACGTTGACTACTGAGTACGCACTAAATTCCCCGCAGCGCTGATTGGCCAAGCAGTGTAGCATGATCATCTGCAGCCAGTGATGGCCAAGCGGGCCGTGTGTGTCATCACAAATTTACACAATAATTCAAGTGTGTCCGGACCTCCGTGGCGGGGGCTCTGCCGAACCCCTGAGATCGACTCGCCGAACCCCTGGGGTTCGATCAAACCCAGGTTAAGAACCACTGCTCTAGGCTATCGGTTGGGAGAGGCCGTTACCTCTCTGTGTTAGGGACATTCTCTGACGTTAGAGTAAATAAACAGTGTTGCCTACGAGAAGTATCTGCCTCCTTTGTCAACACTAAGAGGAACAGAGATTCCTTGGACTTAAATTGTTGCAGCCCGATATGTTTTAGCTGCCTGGCTGCTCCACACAGCAGACATGCAGCCTTCGACGGGAGACAATTATATTGCTCTTGCATAAAGAACGACGACTCACCAATGCAATTCGGGTTCAGTCTCTTCATAAGAGAACCATTGCTTGATATTTCTTAAAGTGGCCCTTATTTTGACCTGGAAAATGTACGTACTGAACCACCCCCTACTTGTATGTTTATTTGCAATGTTATGAATTAGTTCAACGCTCTTGTCATATTCCCACTAATGTAGATTTTAAAACATCTAGGTAGTAAGTTTTTAATTACTGCATATTTATTGTTGTCATTTTTACTTGCAGGCTAAAGAATCCATAACTGGCTACAAGGTAAACTACAAAGGTACCCCGAGCTATAATCTAGCGAAGGATGTCATTTTAACATCGAATGCAAACACAGATTCAGAAAAAAACACAAAAAATGATCCAAGATACCATTTTGATGCAGAGAAGTTCGTAGGTGCCCTCGAGATAATGATCAAGAATCGAAACAGATTAATTGCATTGCTCAGGAAAAATGAAATAACAACTGCGGACTACATCACAGCACGACAGCTGACGGGAACCATTCTCCACACATTGCAGGTATGTGCACTACACTTAAATTAAGATAGGGAAAAACTCTACACATTTGTAATGTAAATAACAAATACTAATTAGAATGCAGAAGCAAATTTCTATCAGTCATCACATTTGTCACTGCACACAAACATCCACAAATCTGAGCATTTTGTTTTTAAATGTTTTATTTAGCATGAGTATTCATCAACTGCGTCATTAGTAATCTGAATTTAACATGTTCTGTAATTATTTTAAACATGAGGGTATCAAACAAGGGTGTTAACCGTGAGTAGCAGGTTGCCACCAGAGGTATTGCCAGACCCCAGGCAAAATGACACGTTGTGGCAATGCTGCAAATAGGCCATTTGTAGGCCTTTTTGTGATGGCCGGGGCTAATGTGTCCTTTTGCCACCCTCTCTATGTGGCCATAGAGTAATGTAATACATAGCTACTAACAAATTACAAATGAGGAACATGGCGACAGGTTCTGGCCACAGTTTTCGGGATGTCATAGAACAATCTTGCTCCTCTCCACATATGCATCTAACAAATTTGGCTCCACGAAACATCTGTGTGCAACCTTTGTTGAGCAGATCCACAAAAATGTGATGTGATTTTGCGTGAAGTGCTGAGCCACGTGAGTGAGTGTGGATCAATCGTAAAGCAGGAGTGCCAACACAGTTTGCGCAATAACTCCACACCTTGGAACATTTTCACTAAAAAAATAAAAATCCACACTTCATAAGTAATCTGCACTGTACACAGACATGTGTATTTTCGTGTATTTTGTAAACATACACTGTATAGAGTGGAAGGTCAGAAGGTCGTGACGGTCGCTGCCAATAATGTCAACGCACTTCAGCAACTCTTGGTTTCTAACAACAGGTTTCACAACCTATGACTTGTGTGGCAATTAGCACCCACATTAAAGTATTGTCTTACCAGCCTAATGTCCTCTGTTTCCTGTTGCATTGTAATCGATGACAACCGCTCAGGCAGAAGAGTTATATTGGTTGGGTTTGTGGCCTATAATCGCTTAAAAGGCCAATCCATGGTGCAAAGCCGTGGCCACATACAGGGCATGTGAGGTCTGGAGTTAGTTGTTGAGGACAAGCACTTCAGAATTCCTTTGCACTCTTTTTTTAATCTCTGCTTCCACAACTCATTCGATTTCGAAGAACCTTATTCAGGTTGGATGGTGGTTCGTCAAAAGGCTATGTCCTGCGGATCAGGTGTCCTATCTATCTATGCCGATCCTTGATAAGTTATGCTTTAAGGTTGTTTTTGGCTCGTTGCAGAACTTCAATATTGGTCATTTGTCTTACTATGTATTTTGAAGGATTATTCTTAAGTGGTGCTGCCTGTTGAGTGTCAAGGTTTCACTGTCATATAGGGGCTCTGTCAGGATGACGGTTTAGTAGACTTTCAGCTTAGTTGATTTAGAAAGGGCATGACCGAAATTACAGCTGGTTTTGAGTATATGATTGATAGATAATTATCTCATTGTCTATCCACACTTCATTAGATGCGTTAGTACCGAGGAAGATTCGTTAGTACCGAGGAATGTGTGGTACCATTTAGAGCGACATTTGCTTTAGATGCAGGAATTTTGTCATTTTATGACCTTTGGTGCATCTAAGGTTTATTGAGAGACCAAAAGATGCTGCTGTTACTGAGAAGTGGTTGGATATGTTCCGGAGACAACTTTCAGCATGAGCAAATAAGGTACAGTTGTCAGTATAAGAAATATTGAAGCAGTGCCTCCTGAACCATGACATTCGCCTGTCGATAGCGAAAGTTTAATAGCTTGCTTGATGTGCAAACATTGATATAGATTCTGGTCTGAGTCTTTGACATGGCCTCCCCGGGCATGGTGACAGAGGATATAATGCATATGAGTGGTGCCAAAATACAGCCTTGCTTTATGCCGTTGGTGATCACAAAAGCGTGGTGCTAGAGTTTACCACTGGATGGTACTATTGCAAGTGTGCCATCGTAAAAAGGCTCTACTTACCATGAGGCCTCCTTTGCCAGTACCAGCTTATAATAATAGGCTTTTTCCCCTTTTTTTCTGGCAACAAAACTGAAACCTTTTACAAGGAATAATGTCTACATTAAGCACAACACATGCGGTCAGAATGCAAAAAAAAACACACACTGATAATACATGCATTGTCCTTGAAACTAATTGGTCCACACCAGAGACAGCTTTTTTTAGAGCCTCGTATCATATGGTGTTCAACCAGATGACGCCAAAAGGCGCTCAGCTCATCGACAATGCACTATCAGAGTATGAGGGCTCGGGGTAAGCATCTACATCATGAGGTTTCAAACGAGATGGGTGGCCGAAGCAACGGCGATGGCCCGCACGAATGCGCACACACTGTGGACGTTTAACCTTGACCACTTCAACAGGACTGTGCCATGGCCTACGCAATTTGAGAGAGGTGCCAACTGGCAAATGAGGGCAATGCAGCCAAGCCCAGTCGCCAACAGACCACGGCATGTCACGTGCGGACCTGCGCGCACAACGTTCGTTGCGCGTTTGCGTCTCAGATGTGTTAACTCTAGCCGCTTCCCGGGCCTCAGAAATCCGCCGTATGGAATCTTGGACATGGTCCGTCAGGGTAGATTTGGCACCACCAATAGGCGCTCCCAATTGGTTATCTCTGAATGGCACGTTTTCCCTCCCATGCATGAGAAAAAATTGCGAAAATCCCATGGAAGCGTGCGCGGCCATCCTGTTCGCAGCAAGCACGCTCGGCACATGCAAATCCCAATCAGCTTGTTTGGCATCCACAGTCTGACGGAGCATGGCGACCAAGGTCTGGTTTAGACTATCGACCATTCCATTGGTCTGAGGGTGGTATGGCGATGTTTTGATTTTCTTGGTGCCCAATGCGTTACAGACATCACGCAGCGACTTAGATGGAAAATTTCGACCCTGGTCCGTAAGCAGCTGTTCGGGAGCACCGTTATCCATAACATAACAGTTCAAAAACGCGTCAGCAATGGAGGCCGCCGACAGGTCTGGCAGCGGCCAAGCCATCGGCCATCTCTTTTGTTGTAATTGTTGTATTTACCTCCATGATGTTCTTTTTTTGAGCTGCCACTCTCTCTCTGGCCCCTCCCCCCCCCCCCCCAACCTTATTTCCTATTTAAGCTTCTGTTCATCCTCCCGGCCCCCCCATCTCTCTCTCCTTGCCTCTCTGTCCGTCTTTCCTCCCTCCTTACCTCTTGGTGGACTTGTATATGTATTTCTAATGACCTTGTACCTCGTATTTTTTCACTCGTTCTATGCTGGTATGTGCAATCCAGAGTTTGAACACGAAATTTAACACTCTTCTGAAATTCGTGGTCCGCCAGGAAGTGTCTAACTGTGTTGTTGGCCTGACTGGTTGTGCTTCACATAATGTTTTTAGGTTTGTTAAATTCTAGTCTCTCATCTCTTTTGTTGTATTTACCTCCATGATTTGTTCTTGACACCTGATGAAGATCGCATGTGTTGTGATCGAAACGTCGTGATTGTCTTCTTTTAATATAATATAATTGTATTGTATTTCTACATACGTGACTTTACAAAAAAAAACAATGAGTAAAAATATTCCACTTATACCAATAGATATTTATTACCTCTAGGAGGAAATGGAAAGTGGCCCAGGACATCGAGTGCCACCAGCTCATTAATATGCGAGACAGAAATATATTTCAGCAGTGGATGACATTTCCGCTGTGGTGGCTTCCGCCAAGCACACTCAGGGCATGACCGGATCAATTTGGAAACATTGGCAGTCATAACCGGCCAATAATAATCCTGCTGCAACGTCAACAACGATTTTTGGACACCAAGGTGTAAAAACCTCTCTCCGTGCAGCGTGCGAACCAAGCCGTCACAGAGAGCAACGAGAACCACAATCCGCCAGCGATCTAGGATCTCCTCTCTCCACATTAAAAGGCCGTCATGGAGAGTCAATCAGCCCCCCTCATCTCACGCAGAAGATACCTGTGCGTGCTCCGCACGACATCACAAACTCTCTAAGGAGTTGTCTAGTAGCTGTTCACGCACCCACACTGAGCGTGGGAGCTGCAACACACTGTCAGCCGGTACATTCGCATCCAGAGTAGTCAAATCATTCACCGCGGACATGACGGTTCGTGGTCGCGAGACAACGGCTCATCCTGGACACACACGAGCAACGAGGCGATTGTGGCAGTCATGACAGGGCATCTGCGTTGCAATGCCTGGAGCCCTTACGATACACCACACTGAAGGATAACTCTTGTAATATTTCTAGCCAACGAGAGAGTTGGCCAGCCGGCTGCTCGACTTTCCAGGAATATTGGAGAGTCACATGATCAGTGCAGACAACGAATTTCCTGCCATTAAGGTAAGGCCTGTACTGCCGCACGAAATGAACAATGGCCAAAAGTTTCCTCCGAGTGACACAATAGCGACTCTCCGCAGGCGAAAGGACATGGCTGCCATAAGCGACCACTTTCTCAATTGAAATTGGACGGCACTGATTCCCGTATCGCTGGCATCAGTGTCAAGAATAAATGGCAGAAAAAAATCCGGATATTCGAGCGTGGGCGCATCAGACAAACGTTCGCGGAGGGCCACGAACACGGCCTCCTCTTCCGAACCCCATCTAAACCTTACATTTTTAGCAGTCAATGCGTGCAAAGGTTTAGCAACCATAGTGAAATTTGGCACGAACATATGGTAATATGATGCAAATCCAACGAAACTGCGCACATCACCCACGTAGGTAGGAGTCGGCCAATCACGAACACATGCAGTTTTCGTGGGATCCGTAGCGATGCCATCAATGTGACCCAGATAATGCACCGAATTTTGCAGCAAGTGACATTTTCCCGGTTAAAATTTTAAGCTAGCGGAGCGCATCCTATTGAAGACGGAGCATAGACGCTGGAGATGTTCATCAAACGTGCGACTAAAAACAATAACATCGTCTAAGTAAAAGAGACAAGTGTCCCACTGTAGGCCAGCCAAAACGAGCTCCATCAAGTGTGGAAAAGTAGCCGGAGCCAAGTTCAAGCCCATCGAAGGCAGTTGAACTGGAAAAGTCCTTGAGGTGTACGGAAAGCGGTTTTCGGTTACAATGAATCATCTAGGGGCAATTGCCAAAACCCGGAAGACAAATTGAGAGTCGAGAATTATCGCGCACCGGACAAAGCGTCTAAGGAGTCATCTATGCATGGAAGCGGATACGCGTCGGCCACCACAACCTTGTTCAACTTGTGGAAATCAACGGAAAATGTAAGATTACCGTCTTTCTTTTAGACAAGCACGACAGGCGCACCCCAAGGGCTATTGGACGGAGAAATAATATAAGCGGCCAGCTTGTCGTTGACCGCCCGTTGTACGCATTCCTTCTCCACCGGACTCAACTGGTGAGGATTCTGGCAAATAGGGCTGGCTTCACCCGTATCAATATGGGGAGACAAAAGGGACGTATGGATGGCCTAGGTCGAAATCATCTTACTAAAAACGTCTGAAAACTCACACAGAAGCGAACGCAACTCATTCCGTTGCTCAGGAGATAAGGACGAGTTCTCCCTGCATAACTCAGTGACCCATCGATCGTCCGAAACAGAACAGGAATGAGCCACCACCACTAAATGTTGTGGCTCAACCTCGTTGTGTTTTGAAAAGGCGGAAGTGGCATGAGCCAGCACCGTACCAGTGGGAACAACAACCGCGTCCGATCCCCCATGAAGAACCTGCAAAAACAGGGCCTGCTCAGTACGAATAATTGTCTGTGCGCTGACAAGCACCAAACCCCGGGTCGCAGTATTAGACGGGGTCAGAAGGACTCCAGCCACCAAAGCAACACATCCGGATCCCTTACGATAACGCAATGGCACAAGGACTTGGGATTCCGGTGGAATCTCGACCGTGATATCAACTAGGGCTTACATGGCGGCATATGGAGGTGAACGCAACAGCAGCGAAGGCAAAAATAACAATTTGCGACCCGAGGGCAGTTCCAAACAGCCTTGATCCACCAGGATCTTGACAGGCATTCTTCTAAAAGAATCAGTGCCCAACAAGCAGGGCATGGCTAATGGCCTTGAAATCAAAACTGGTCCAGATACTGTAACATCCCCGATTGCAATACGGGTATCCACCTGATCCACGATGCCCATGCTACCACCATAAGCTGCAACACAAGCGCCAAGACCAGGATAGACTTGAGAAACAGGAATCGATAGTAATTGAAAGATCACATCAGAAATAATCATAGCGGAAGCCCCCATGTCCATTAAGACGTGAACGTCCACTCCCTGGATTGTACCAGGTACCTCAGAGGATCCTGCAGCAGCCGCGACTATATGACCCACCAACTTTTTGCATTGTATCACCGAATCAGGCCAACCTTTAGTGACTGAATTCGAACAGACATTATCAAAACTCAAATCGCGTGGTGAACGATTTCGCCCATGTCATAAGATGCCTGAGGTTGTGAATTGGGCCGGGTGTCCAACGTGTACCGACTCGCCTTTGGGGGAGGAGGTTGAGCCGTCAGAGAGGCAGTAGGAGTCGGAGCAGCAGCTGAAGTCAGGGAATGAGGGCGACCCCGGCAATCCCTCGCGAAGTGGCCCAGCCGGCCACACCTGAAGCAGGTCACGGGCAGTCGCTGAGCTCCCCAATCCTCATGCTGACGTGGTCTGTTAATTCCCGACGACGTGCCACGTCGCCCCGTCTCCGATCCCATCGAGGAACCACAGCAGCGAGATTGCCTTCCAAAGCCACGTCCTCAGGTGGAATGTGCACGACCTTAGTCGGCGACCAACTTATAGGCTCCCCATCCCGACTAGGATCCTCCATCCATGCAACCATCTGAGACCACCGCTGCAGGTTTTCGTGTGCGTGAAGGCATCTGGCGGCCCATCGAGACGACTGCACATCGTGGCCACATGCAGGCAGAACCACCCCCATGTCCCGTGCCAGAGCCAACATACGATCCATGGCCAACGAATAAAGGGCTTGTCATTTCACATCAGGGTAGGCGGCCATGGCCAATGCCATCAGAGCGCTACAGTAGGCGAGGGGTGACTCGGAACTCCCCTGCCTTCGTTGCATAAACTTCCTTCGAGTAGCAGAAGGTGGTTTGTAGACTTCAGCCATCTCGGCATATGCACCTTGTAATGTCTTCCTCCTCTCTGGAGGAATCGACCTGAACACAGCTAGAGCGTCATCATCTAACACGGTCGGTAGAGTGATCAACGCTCCATCCTCCGACCAATGAACTAAATGGAACGCCGCCTCGAACCGCCAAGTGAAGGCGCTCCAATCGCTGCTGGCAGCGATGAATTCTTTGATGTGCGGGAGTCATCGGGTGTGCCCGGCACCGTTTCGGCCGAAATTAGCGCCAGCTCATGCCGGCTGCGTACCACGTGGCTCCTCAAAAATGGCGGGCTCCGACCATGCCCTTGACGCGCCGTCCAAGATGGCGGTGTCGTGCTGCGTGGTCCCCGTAGCATGCGTAATGGTGGACGTCTCTCCAGCGCCCGCAATGGTGGACGTTGTTTCCGCAGGGGAACCCTCCGAGGCTCCGGTCCCGGACCTCTGCTCATAACCCCTCGGCAGCACCTCAAGTGGGCGCCCCACCACCACAGACGACGCGATGAGGAATACCAGCTGAAGAAGCACCGTCCTCAGCGAGTCCAGCTGCTCCACCACCATTCTTTAGCCGTCTTCAGCCCACTGTGGCGGAGAACCCATAGCCGCGCCGCTCATCTCTGGTATGGCGACCGAAGAAACCGTGGTTTCTGTTACCAGAACCACGGATCCCGGGATCGGCAGGTCCTGCCTCCCCGCCTCCTCGTCGTCGGAAGACACAACAGGTGGGTTCTTCTTTTTAAGGTGCTTAGACATATTTCACACTGGTAGAATAATTTTGTCTCTTGAAGGACCACTTCTGACTCCAAATGTAATAAACGACTTCCACGACGACTCTTGATGGTGTCTTTATTTAGCTTTATTACTGCATGGCTATGCTCCTTCCTTCTCTGGTAATTTCCTTTCTTTATCAAATGCCGTGGACGCGGCGCGCTCTCCGTTCCACCATCGAGAGTCGCGCCTCTCTCTCTCTCCGAGCTGCCGCTGGCTGACGGCATGCCGGGGAGGAGAGGTGAGCTCCGGTGGTGACTCCGCCACGTGGCCATTGGCGAGCAGCGACGCAGTCCAGACCCGGGGCTTCCACACCAACCGCGAGTCCTCCCCTGCCACTGCTTATATCACTCCTCTAGCCACACCCCCTCGTGGAACCTTCCCGATGGTTCCTGAACAGTATTTCTGACTCCGCCCGTTACCTTTGGCCCAGATGTTCTCCCCACTCATGATTGGATACCGGTTATCCGATAGTGCCCGTGCAGTTACGCCCTCACGTCCACGAGATGGCGCTCTCTCATTACAAATGAATAATAAGGCGTCATAAATCACCTGTTAAAACGTTCGTGGCCAGCTCTGCTCTTTCCGACCCACTTAACCTCATTCCACTAAGCAATGGCGGTAGACGTGAAATAATTTAGAAAATAAAATATATTCTTACATACGTTATGCATGAATTAATTTGCATATTCAAGAATTAATTACTTCCGAATGTCATAATGTATTTAAAAGAGTTTCAATAACTAAAGAGATTTAGAATAGTTCCGTAACATATCCATATACATCAATGCATATAAAATCAAATGTATTATCAAAGAACTGCTTTTTCTGTTTAGTTTGTTATTCTTCCCCCACACTTCTGATGAGCACGGTTGGCTATGTACGGTGTGAATTAAGTTTCACTGGTAACAACTCATTCTATTTATAACCATACGATATTGATTTGCAATTTCCATTGACGATTCTATCTGTTTTAGGATTTCTACAGCCATTCAAACTGGATTGAAATGGGAAACACAAAGCCAAAAGATAACATATTTAGCAATGATTTCTCAGAAAAAGAAGTTGCTGGTAAATTGCATATCACTAAATATTGCATTACATTTTTATAAATTATAAAACAAAAATATTTTTACTATGTCATTTTGTGTTAATGTATTTATTACCTACATAAACAGAAGCAAAATGTATGGTACAGGAGTAGCCAAAAACATTGAGAGGTGAGCTTACTCACTTCTGTGTCAGTTTAAACAATTACATTTATTTTCCTGGCCCTGGTTTACACAGTACGACTCCACTCCACTAATTTTGTTTCGTGTTCTTTTTTATTTGACACATATTAAAGGAGTGAATCAGCTCGTTTGCCATATTATCTGTATTTTTTGTGATTGAGGGAATGCAGATAAAAGGAATTGAAACTCGTTATTAATATGATGTCAATTTCTCCTATCCATAAACGTTACTTAATCAAGGGGTCTCCCAATTATTACAGATTTGAGTAATTTTATTGTAATTGATGGGTTTTAATGCGTCAAATTAACTCACATTATACTTCACAATACAGTGCGCATAATGTGTTTTCTTCCCTTCTCCCTCCATTTTGTTCGTGTTAAAAGACAGATGTTTTGATTTTGAAATGTTCTTTATGTGAATTGGCTCTCATTTGTTCATTGATTTGTATGTTGTGGGCCTTTATTTCTTCATTCGCTTAAGGACCAGATGTGCGCACGTGCACAAACTGTGGGACAAATTGTGTAAACAATATAAGACCGGAAATAAATTCGAAAAGCCTTCTTACCAGCGGATATTATTCATCTCAGAAGATCGGGACTATTACTGTCCCAAAGCCTAAAGGAAAATGTAAGTTGCATGGTACGGTTCATTTTCAGGTAAGGTAGTCAGCAATCCAGAGATTTGCCTTCAAGGTCAAGTTGGTGGATCATGTATTAATTTCAGCGATAGAGCATGTGAAACATTTGTCTCATTAGCAGTGATAGGATACTGACACCACCATTTCTGGAAATACTGGAAATTATAATGTTAAAAAAGCATGAGAGTACTATAGAGAGACAAGGATATATGGAGCTACACGAAGTTACAAAACTCCCAGCCACCTCTGGGCATTGTGTGCACTGCGAGCCACATGCTCGAGCTGGTGCTGGTGTTGAAGGCTGTACATTTATGTGTTTTAAACGTTAATCAAAAACGTGCAAGACTCTTTTTACGTTAAAATTCTCAACAATCATTTCTCCTCATACACAAAAAAAACAACAGCCACCATTCGTCACTAAGTGGTGGTTACATCTCCACAGCGCTTGTGCCAGGTTAGGTGCACTTTGAGGCCACATGAAGTGTCGAAGGCTCGTCAGCAGGAGGTCCCGGAATAGATCTAGGTGCCATGGGTTGACTGACTGAGATGACTAAAAGATGTACTAACTCTGCTGGTAGGCGTCGCTCCTCCGCTTTCTTTTTTTGCTGGAAGGCCACTGCCTCCAACTGCCCAGTAGCGTCTTTCACAGACCTCCTGCACAAAGACCAATCTTGACACTGCTGCCACCAGTCAGCGGCAAGTCCAATAAGCTCCACATATTTCTGTATCTCATCAGCTCATCTATTGTCTACCCCGTGCCACGCTCGTTTAGCCCCCAGTATCCAGCCAAACAGAAGCTGCTTGGGCATGCAGGCAACTTGACTCGGCCAACGCAGCCTCGCTTACTGGAGGAACTCACTGATGGAACTATGTTCAGATCTTTCAAGGAATTTATGAGCTCCTCACACAATACAGTCTGGTTAAATCCAGGATGGATCGTAGCCAGGCTCGTCTGAATGTCTCAAATCACCGCAGATGTACCTTTAGAGTACTCCACATTTCACAAGTATAGAGAAGGGAAGGCAAAGCTGTGTACAAGAAAACCCGGAGCTTCCTATGGCGTGATAGACCAGGTACCTTTCACACAGCGTTACACAGATGATGAAAAGATAATGCTGCTCCACTAATTCGGAGTGAGAACTCGGCTACCAAACCTTTTCATAAGCCCAATGCCCAGGTGCGGAAGTATTTCCACTCTCTCCACAACTGTCTCATCACTCATGGGTAGATGAAGAAGGGGAGCATTTGATGACATCAAATGCTAGGTTGTTGTGGGGCTGATGGTAAGGCTCCACCTCTTAGAATCATGCTCCAGGTTCAGCAGTAGTCTCCAACTCTTTGTCAGAATAGGCAGCAATTACCAAAATCATCTGCATACGTAACATAGTTGACCAATAGGGAGCCATCCCTTGACTGCACCCGGGCATCGAGCAACCTCCCATTGCATCTAAACCAGACAGTAATTCCATCAGTGCATCCATAGCAAGCTTCTCGAACGACATGGTCAAATAAGATGTTAAATAGTGTAGGAGTCAGAGGACATCCCTGTCGCACCCCAAGGTGAACAGAAATAGTTCCGACTCCTCGCCACGCAGATTTATCAGGGCCTGCCCACCAACATTGACTTTCTAAAGTCTATGGTCTGGCACCCAGTCCTGGCCTATTGATGGTATCATTGGCCTTGACCAGGTCAATTAAACAGAGATCTAATTCAATGTCATCTTAAATGCATACATACATACATACAACAGCTGACATTTGCTACGAACTCATAGTGATGTCACCACAGTGTTTGTGCTGGGCTAGGTTCACTTCGAGACTTTGTTACATGTTGCAAGCTCGCTGTCAGATATTAGACATGGGTCTGCCCTGTATAACATTTGGAAACTGCCTATTCTTTATATGAGAGTCAGTCATAATCATAGTAAAATTTTTTTTTATAAAATCTGCACAAAATAACTCCACTAATCACAACATTCTTTATTTATAATTAGTGATTGTTTCATATTTTACTGATACATCTACCATTTGTGCATTTCTGATCTCTTCCTTTTTGTTGCCTTCATTCGCATTTTTTATGTTTCGTGTTCTTTTTTTATCATTCCTTTCCGAATCGTTTGAAATAAGTGTGTTCAATCCTAAGCCTCGCATTGCCGTATCTTTTTACGTATGCTTCTGTTTCTCAACGTGACTTTGCGGTTTCAGACACATTTGTCACTGTTTCCTTTCTATCCTTTCCCCCAACTCCCAGTACACCATCTATTACGATGTATAGTCAATGCATTATTTAAGATGGTGACATTCATTTAATCAATTTGATTCGTTTGGAATTTGAATGTGTTGCTTCGAGTTAACGTTAAATCAGCTACCTGCTGCTATGGCTTTTTTTCATGTTAACTATCTTTGTTTGTCTACAATTACTTCGGTCTGCTCGTTGGATATTTTGAAGTGCAACTTGCATCGCTCAAGTCAGTGGTTTCTTCCTGTGTTGAACTTGTTGAGGACATATTTGAACTACAAAGGTATCCCCTTTCCTTCCTTACCTCACTAATACCTACTGTGTCCTCATTTTTGTAACCATACTACACCGCTCTGATCATTGCGTGTTGGTGAAAGATTATTTTACATCTATACAAAATGACAAATAACTGTTTATATGTTGCAGGGAAGTGCAGCCATGGAGGGCTTCTCGATTTCACAAGGTTGACCGAAGCTAAGGGGGGTATTAACAAAGACGGTTCCCTTAAACTCTTTTCACCACACTACTATCTGCATCAAACAGCTGTCGATGTGGCAACAAAAGCAACCATCAAGTTCTTCAGAGATCTCAGAAGTGAAGTAGACAATGACCTTGCTTTCGGAAGGTAAACGTCGGCAGAAATTGCTGCTTGTTGCAACAAATACGTTTCACACACAACGGTTAGAACACCTTTTGTATTGCTCCAAACTGTGTAAAAAGTAGCAGACTGTAAACAATCACACATATAAACGAAAGATGTAGAGGATAAAGAATATTCAGATGAGAATTATAATTGTAATGATAATAGCAATGGTAATGTATATGAGGTTATTGATTATGATGATGATGTGTATGATGATCATAATGATAATCAGGTTGATGTTACTGCGTTTGCTACTGCTGCTGATGTTGCTTTTGATGCTTATGACAATGATATGGATGTCAAAGAGATAGTGTTCCTATGAACGTCTGAATTTTAGGACTCTTATAAAGAGTGTTATACATGCAGGCAGAGAAATGCATAAATAGAAGGGATGGAATGTGTGCAGATATGTCCTTTTATTGTTCTCTCCTGGCCGTCGAGCATCTCAGCAGGTTTGGAATTTTAAAAAAAATTATATACGAGATCCACCATCTATTGCCTTCTTAATTATGGATTGCAGGAATCATGCGAAGAATGCACTGTGCATCTATTTGAGGACAAGTCAATCTAAGAAAGGCTCAATAGGTTCTGATACCACACACTACTGATGTGTGCCATGGGCATTTATACGATTTATGTGCATACATATGCATGCAACTTTACATACAAAGAACATACACACACGCACGTGCATATACACATTCACTTACGCGTGGGGGGGGGGCGGGTGACATAGGTCGGGGCAGAGAGGTCTTGGTGGAGAATTTAAAATCCGACAGTGGGGTGGGAATTGGGGTGCAGGTGAAGCACGGCTCGAGAAAGCAGAGATGGGCATAGAAGGAGGCAGCTTGGTCAGAGAATGTTGAATAAAATAGGATACTTAAGGTTTAGGATTTTTTTTAGATCATCCTAGAACACGAATTGATTCGAAATAGCTCTTAAATCTCACGAAGGTATTGTACTATCAGAAGGAAATTGCAAAAAAGGGTGCCAAAATCTAGCAATTTTATCTACATGATGTTTTAGAAATGGGATATACACCCATATTTGCTGGTGACGAACAATACATTGCAAAACCTTTTTTTATTATAGCTACAGGAAAAAAGTGCCAAAAATTAATAGAAGTATGTTGAACGCTTAAACCCATTCTAGGCTTAGTCTACTAGCAAATTTGACAAGTGACTTGTCCGTCATCACTGTTCACACAAGCACATACTTTTGTTCTTTGAAAAAAGATTGTTGCAGTTGACACACACATGCAATTAGTATCGTCATCTGATTCGCTGCAATCATCCACCTTAAACGGCATACCTCTATCCCATTGTAACCATTTACATTATGCTATGTTCCAACAGACACTTCTGCGCAACTTTCTAACGTTATTTATTCACTTGTTTGTAATCCCTGCACATTTTTTATCTAACTTATCTCAGAAACAGAATATGAATACTGGAGGAATCCGATGAGCTACAACGCTTTTGACAAATGTCCAGAAGTATATCTCACTATATATATTGACACAGCCACTACATATGCAGACCCATCTTTTTATAGTAGACCCAGAAAAAATCAAACAAACTCACCTCGTTTGCACGCAAAGTGTTTTGCAAGCTGGCCGAGGGGTGGCTTCATCATTGCACTCACTGACGACAGTTGGCTGCAGTTTGTAGAGAAGACAACGTTGGTTTCCTGTTTTATCTGAGTATTCCAATTTAGGCAACCTCCCCCTACTTTAACGATGAAATTAAAAAGTTGAGTAAAAATTTAGGGGTGTTCGATACATTCTTCGCTCCATTTTCAATATTGGTAGAGTGACCTCTGACCCATGAACCTCTCCTGCCTCTGCTGGAAGTGCCAACCTGTACTAAAATGTTATCTATGTGTGGACTTTCCATCTAAATGGGGTATGATTTATGATTTTCATAGCTGGGGCATAATTATCTCACAATCAACTTGCACTGACGTTCTGTGGGAGTGGAAGGGGAAATCCTGGTGGTCATGGTAGCATCATCCTATCAAATTAACCTTTGCTTGTGGGGGTAAATGGTTACATTATTTTTCACAGGTGGGACAATATCTCTCTAATCTACCATAAATATGGGGCTGGACTTCAATGCAGAGATACGTTGTGAAAGACATGCACACCTTGCTTCTCAATGTTATTTTTTTTGTTTTTATAGGTATTTGGGATTTGAGCAAACAACATCAATTGGATTTGTGATTGACACTACTGGCAGCATGGGACCCTTCATAAGTAATGTTCGCACCGAAGTCTTAAGGATCATTGATGAGCGTGCCCAAAACGGCGAGCTGCCTGCGATGTTTATGCTCGTGCCTTTTAATGACCCAGGTGAGAATATTTTTTCTCGATTATTCTGAATACTGTTATAAGCAACCAAAATACTCATGACAGCACAATAATCATGACAGACAGCCATGCATGGTGCTGATTATAATGTATGACTTTCTTGTGGCTCCTTCGAACTCCCTTAAGTACTAAGAACAATTGGTGAGTCATGTGTTTGTGTATTTGTTGCTAAATATATAGTGTTTCACGGTTATACTGTTTTTTTTTTAGGTTATGGTCCAGTTCTTGTCTCCAAAAACGTAACTGAATTCCGAAAATGGATTTCAGCACTCTTCCCCTATGATGGCGGTGATGAGCCAGAAATGTTTTTTTCTGGATTGATGGTAACTATTGCTCATATTTTTAAAATAGTTCTGTATTCTGGGTTCACTTAATAATCAACCCAAAAATGAATTGGTGCCAATTTATTACATTATCAAAGCAACATTTCCACGATACTGTGGTAGTTTATATTTTCTGTTAGAAGTGGTGACACCACTCCACAATTAGGGGAATGGAGTCTGACTGGTGCAATAGGGGTGGAAGAAGAGGGATGAAGTTTGCGAGGAGCTGTGTAAAGGAAACACTGAAAAAGAGCTGCATAGCTCATCGGATTTCTCCAGTCTAAATACAGTTTCTGATCTGACTAGGCATGGACATGTGAAGGATGCTGGTTCAATTCACATCTCAAATTTCTTTAAAGGGTTAACACGTATATTTTGCAACCACATCTATTATGAATGTTGTTTGCTGGGTTGGACTGCATGGTTAGCATTTCTTCTATCAAGCGTTTGCAACACACTACTGTGGAATTTTTATTTGCTTTGCCATCTGTTGACTTAGTGGAACAAATTGCAGCAACTTCTTTGGTTCTTTCGGTAAAGTCACATAGAATGAGAATAAAATAATAAATTAATAAAATAAAATAGCACAACAAAATTCTCACGACGTTTCGGCCACAACACAAGTGACCTTCTTCAGGTGAAAGGAACAGACCTGTTGGGACGACAGAGCTTCAATGAACGTTGTTAAGATTCGTAGCGTCTTTTAAGCTGGTTTAGAGAAGTGAGGCACCTTGACAAAGGGGTTTACATATCAAACAGGAGAATTTAGCATTGAAATAGCTGAATGATTAGCTTGTGACTGGTCATAGATTTGTACTAGGTGCCTCTGTGGATGTGTAGGCTTTGACTTTAACATAGCCATTTCTGTGACCAGTCACAAGCTAATCACTCAGCTATTTCAATGCTAAATTCTCCTGTTTGATTTGTACTAGGTGCCTCTGGATGTGTAGGCTTTGACTTTAACATAACTATTTCTATGACCAGTCACAAGCTAATCCCTCAGTTATTTCAATGCTAAATTCTCCTGTTTGATATGTAAACCCTTCTGTCAAGGTGCCTCACTTCTCTAAACCAGCTTAAAAGACGCTACGAATCTTAACAACGTTCATTGAAGCTCTGTCGTCCCAACAGGTCTGTTCCTTTCACCTGAAGAAGGCCACTTGTGTTGTGGCCGAAACGTCGTGAGAATTTTATTGTGTTATTTTATTTGATCGATTTATTATTTTATTCTCATTCTACGTGACTTTACCGAAAGAACCAAAGAAGATGAATCATTGCAGTCACGAAAGCTTTAAATCGAAAAATCGCAGCAATTCAGTGCCTGCAGATAATGATTGGTGGATTATAATTCTTCCACTCAAACAGGCACAGAGCAATACGTGTTTCGAGGGTAGTGACCACATTCCGCAGGCACGAATGCTTTATGTGTCCAACTTATTCAGCAGACTGCAAGGTGTAGCCAGTTCGCCCTCTCCCACTCCTCCTGTTGTGAGTCCTAACGAGGGGGACAGGTAGGCTAAATATACAACAGCAACAAGAATGCAAAGAATAAAGTTTGGAGACAATGAGCAGGTAAATCTTGACTTAAAGCTTTCGTGACTGCAGGAAATCATATTCTTTGGGTCTTTCGGTAAAACCACGTAGATAGAAAAAATGATGAAAATATCACGACGTTTCGATCGCAACACAAGCAATCGTCATCAGGTGAAAAAAATCGCTATTTTGATGACGATTGCTTGTGTTGCGATCAAAACGTCGTGATATTTTCTTTATTTTTTCTATCTACGTGGCTTTACCGAAAGACCCAAATAAAATGAGTAGGTACTTGGCTTTGTGGTCTGTCCTCCGGAAAAATAGTCGACTCCACAACAGATGAGCACCAGAGGTTTGTGGAACGGCTAAACTTTATTTTAAAGTGTTCTTCTGAAGGACAATTGCGTATCTGCAATATCGACCAGGTACACCCTCCATGTCACAACATCGCAGCTCAAACCCCCAGCACAAAGTCCGCCCAAATCTAAATTGGGGATGTGCCTGTACTCTATAGAGCACATGGGCCTCGGGGTCCAATCCCTGGCCACCACCGCATTCATTTAAAATAAAATAAAACGCACCTGGCTACCCAAAGCTATGAGCAGAGTGCACACTTATACGTGTAATTAATCATGGGTGAGCTCACACCGGCAACAAACGCAAACAATATTTAAGTGCGAACACTAGGTAAGATTACCCAATTATACTCCTAAAGATTCCAGCGGTAATACACGGAGAAATGTCGATAGAATAAATGCAAAACAAGCAACCAAACCTGGAAATCCTGATGTTAATGCAAACAAGGAGGTAAATCAACAGTTTTAGCATTTATTGCAAAATTAAGTTGATTAAATTTGTAGTGAGTTCAACTGAGTCGCAGACGTACTCTTTGGAGGCAACACATTTATTAACACCAACACACGGGGTAACTGCCCCTTAACAGAATAACAACCTATGGTGGTGACCACCAGGCTAACTACACCATAACTATCTACAACGGACCGGACCACAGCTTGGGTCCTGGTCCACGTGTTGGAGACTCTGTAGGACATAGAACGTAGACGAAAGATTATTCAGGATGAACAACAGTGCTGGTCCCTCTGGGGGACCCGGCTTATATCCTCTGTGGCATGGCTGGCTCCGCCCGTGGCCCCGACCACTTTCCAGAATCCTCGAGCAGCATTTCGACCCTGACACGTGACCACCTCTAGCCCCTACTTGGGGCCCCTGTGTAGACTTAATCAGTCACGTGTCCTATGGGGTCAACCAGAGTGCCACGGCCTATAGTAACCTCATTCCCATGGGCGGCACTCCCACACCCTATCCTGTACGGACCGGCACTGCACGCCAAGCATGGTGCTGTCCAGCGCTATCGATCAGCGCTCACCGAGCCCCTCTAGGGCCGGTACTGCACCAACATCCGAGAGGTGTCCGCGATGTCACTACACCGCACGCCATGACCCTCTAGGGCCGGCATTACCCAGTGACATCCCGCCATGTCACTACAAATTGATGTTACTTAACCATTTACCAAAGTCATATCTTTTGCATGCCATGCATCATGTGTATCTGTCAACTACAGCATCTGTTCATTAAGTGACGCTGTTTTATTTACGTACCATTACGTTTTGAGAATACCCATATATAGGGTTTTTTTATGAAAATGTATGTTACAGTATTATATTAATTATGCTATTTGCATTTATCCCATATTCTGAGCCACGACTCGACCTTGGCTTGGCTCCAGCATTGCTCAGCTCTGGCTTAACAATGAGAATAATTTTAATTTGTAACATGCACAGTATTGTAACGTGCACAGCAAATTACTCAGAGGTGAGAGCAACCACAGACAAGGACAGGCAGCCAGGTGGTGAACCATCACCAAATCCCCCCCCCCCGCTTCCCCCCAAGTTGGTAAGTATTGATAGGTGTGAGAGGAATCCCAAACAGATAGAACAGATGGCATTTATCTCACTTGCTCTACTGCAATCTCTTGACAATCCTGGGTATTGCAATCTCGATGCCCACAGGTAGTTTCAGGACATATTGTGATCCACCAAGCCTCACATCCACAGTCCTGCATTACAGGCGTGTTCTACCACCGACCAAAAACTCAATGTCGTGAGCCACTTCTGAGCTGGGATTTGGACCATGTTCATAACTGGTTCAAGCCAAACCAAGCATAGTGGTTGTGCTTCTTATGAAGATGGCCATGTTTATAAAAGAACAAATGATTATGATAACGATGGAACTAATTATTATGGGGAAAATAACGATGACAATAATAATAATCATGATTATGGAACTAATGAAGGACATGGGATGGGTAATGATATGGTTGTCAATGTTGACTCTCATAACAATAATGGACTAATAATGATAACGGGGCTGATTAATAATGATTGGACTAATTAAAATGTGGATAGTGATCCTAATTTTGTTGGGTTTTTTTTATTTTTGCATGAATGATAATTATTGGGCAAATAAAGATGCTATTGCGAGACTATAGATGACTATTGGTCTAATGACAACGGCACCAGTGATAATAATAATAATAATGGTTGAACTCGTAACAATGATACTATTCATGTACATAGCAATAGCAAAGGTAATATAAGTTATACATATGTAGTGGGTTCAATTCAGGCGCACACTGGAACTTTAGGAGGCAACACTATTTATTATTAACACAACTCTTAACATAGGGTGGTGCCCACCGACCTATCCTCGCTAACACACACCATCACTCGCTAACACTCGCTAACACTGACGCTCTCATACGACTAGCGTGGCCAAGCCAGGAGGGCTACTGGTTGGCCACGCTGACTTGAGGCTTGACTCTTCTTCTTCTTCTTCATGAAGCGTCTTCACGAGGCATCTTCACCCCGGACCCGAGCAGCCCCGCACCAGGTGCGGAGTCCACTTATATCCGCCTCGGCATACCTGGGCCACGCCCAGGCCACGCCCACCTTCTTGAATCCTCGAGAAGGCTCAGCCCCTGGCCAGGCGACCCCAAGGTCCCCCTGGGGTCCCCGGCCCCCACCTTCATCCGGTCACGTGTCCGGCCGGGTTCATACAGAGTGCCATGGCCTGACACAACCCCCGTGGCATTGACGACAGCCTCTCGGCTCCCCGACCCGGCCGTAACGTCATTCCAATATACCCGACGTAGTGACGTCATGTGTGTACAGGCTCACACAGTAGTGACAAGTCACTACACAGATAATATGGCACAGTGAGCCCTTAACGAAACTCCAACCTCGCCTAGTCAGAGCAGGATCACACTACAGTGCCACAATAACGTCACGATACATAGAACATGATCCTCAATCTTGGTCGATCTATTGCTGGATGAAGGCCTCCCCAGGTCACTACCTCTCACAATCTTAAAATTATGTAACAAGGCGCCTAGTTTGATAAAAAAAAGGCACAATCATAATTGCACATAAGTTGTGCATACCATCGTCAAACTGCTATTTTTTACCTTTGCTTTTGCCAGCTAATACTCTGTATCTCATTAAGCATGGTGGATGGAACACTTGTTATAGCTTCAGATTGTGATGAACATGGTTTTACATCTATGTAAATGGGATTGTACTATATCACCAAACGATTGGACGGGGTGTCACTTTTATGGATAATGAGCATAGCACTGATAATCGCATTGTTGTTATTTTTCATTAAGCTGTGCCTGAATGCCATTGAGCCACACTCGGAGATATTCATCTTCACGGATGCATCTGCAAAAGATGCGTATCTGGTGCCACAAGCGGTTGCCATTGGAGTGAGAAAGAAATGCAAAGTAAGACCCTTTACTACACCCGACTCGTATACTCTTTATATCAAACCCGAATGTTATAATTGCACGTGTGATTGACAGATTAAACACGTAAAAAAACCTGAACTACATTATTGTACACCTGCAGGAAATTAAGTAATTTTATTTTAATTACTAAAGTGTGAGAATTTTATTGTGTTATTTTATTTTATCAATTTATTATTTTATTCTCATTCTACGTGACTTTACCAAAAGAACCAAAGAAGATGTCATAAGAAACTTGTAGTAATCAGTGTGAGCTTTAATGATCGTATACTGCAAAACCACATTTGATGAATGAGAGTATGTGGGAGGTGAGCGTTTAAATATAGATACAGCAAAACTTTATATTTTTCATTATAAAATATATATGCAACAACATAGTTGCAAATGCAACAAAAAATATTACTCGAAAGTATAACGAATCAACAATATGCATATCCATAATTTTAACAAGCTTTAGACATTGTACTATTTATCATTTAAATATTGCACAACATATGCTTGATGTTTCCTGGTATTAGCTCGATTTATGTCTATAAACTATTTGAAGTATGATTGCAGATAACATAACTGTATATTGTATATGCATATATTTCCAGGTGAATGTTGTGCACGTGAGATGGCCAAGATATATGCGCTCTTTGGACAATCAGGGAAACTTCCAGCGAACACGCACACTTACATACCCTGAATATGACGAAATTGCTTTTAGTACTGGGGGTTTGATGTTGAATCCAACGAGTACGGAATTTCAAGAACTAATGGTAGTCATCGGAGACCTCACAAAGACGCAGCAGGTGAGTTACGATATTTATTCACATACAATGTTCTATCACATACATATGGAACAGATGGAGCACACATTTACTCTACCGCGTTATCCTGGAAAGCCATGGTATGGCACTTCAACGCCCACAGGAAGGGGAGATTCACCAACTCTTCTCCCCACAGTGCTGGATTACAGGCGTGCACAATTATCAATCCACTGCTGGATTATGGCCTGTAGAAAGCTGCTTCCATCTCTCTTGGTTTTGCAATATAGCAACAATAACAGCCACGGAACTTGTACCAGGCTAGGTACAATGTAAGGCGAAATGAAGTGCAGAAGGCTCGCAATAAGGTCACAGGACAAACCCAGTATGTTATAAGTTAACTGACAGCGATGACTGGCAGATGCACCATCTGTGCTCCTCACTGCATTTTAGCCACACGGTTGCTTTGCTTGTTGACGTGAGCATCACTCGTTTATCATTCATTTTTGTTAGAGGGTGGCTGCCTTAATCTACCCTGATAGCGCCTTCACGAGCCTTTTCCACAAAGGCCAATATTGCAACCTATGATACCAGTCATTGGCAATTCCAATTAGTTCCACATCCTCCTATATCACATCAATCCATCACCTCTTCAACTGTTCCATGTCAATTTCGCCCACTCTATCTGGCCAATCAGAAACTGTTTGAGCATGCAGTGGCTGGGCATATGCGCGACATAATCCAGCCAACACAGCCTCGCCAACTGGAGGAGCTCAGATATGCGACTACAGTCCAGATCTTTCAAGGATCAATGACTTCCTTTGACAATTCAGTCGAGTTAAACCCAGGATGAATTACAGGCAGGCCAGCCTAAATGTTTCAAATCGGTGCACATATTTATTTACCGGATTCTATGTTTTGCAAGCACAGATAAGGGATGGCATAACTGTAGCTAATAATAATCCGAAGCTTCATATGGAGTGATTAACCAGGTAGCTTCCACACAGCATTACACAGTTGATGATAATGTAATGACACTTGACTGATTCAGAGTGAGACCTCCAATGCTGAACCAGAGGTGGTCACAAGCACACTGCCCAGGTATTGAATATTCTCCACAACTGCCCCATTACTCAAGGGTAGTTGATGGGGTAGAGTATTTGATCATATAAAATACCCAGGCAAATGCTTTGTCTCGGCAGGACTGATGAAAAGGCCACATCAATCAGCCTCCCATTGTGTGTGCACCAGATGGAAATCCTCCAGTACAGCTATGGAAAGCGTCTCGAACTACATGGTCAAAATATGTGTTAAATAGTGTAGGGCCAGTGGACATTCCTGTCACACCCTAAGGTGACCCAGAAGTGCCTCTGATTCCTGGCAACGCAGCTTTACTCTGGCATGTCCATCATCATGAAGGTCCTTAATGATTATGAGAATAGGGCCAGGGACCCCAAAAGCATGCGGAATAATACAAAGCCCAGGCCTATTAATGGAAGCATAGGCCTTGACCAGGTCTATAAAGCAGACATATAGATCCTGTATAAAGTCCCTACATCTCTGCTGCAGCAGGGCGATAAGGAACATGGATTCTATATCTGAAAAATAAATTGGGGAACCACAAAATTCTTCTCAGAGTGCCTGGCAAGGCAATGTGGAACAATCATTGTCAGGACCTTTCCCAGCACAATGAGGAGAGAGATGCCCAAGTAGTTATTGTAATCCATGTGGCCTCCTTCTTAAAAAGGTGGACAATCAGGGCATCCTTCCATGTAATACTCTACCTACTACCTGAAGACGAGAAGAAGCTATCTCTTCATCGTCGCAGTGGATATTTTATTTTCTGTTCCAATCCTTTGCTACAAATCGGTAATTATTCACCATTGGCCATCGCCCTTTATAGTAATGAATTATATCCAAGCCGAATTTTCTTAACAGCTTGAATTATGTCAATGAACCTGCATGTGTCCGCTAAATATAGGTGTTCCTCTTTCTGTCTCTCAGTTCCAGCATACATCTTGCCATATTTATTTTCGCGCTTTTAAGCTTTTGTTCAATTTTATTCTATAAAGACCATGTTTTTGATTCTCATGTCATATCAGATAAACATGCAATTATATATAAAACATTTTTTTAGCACATTGATATTTAATTTTAAATGATCACGTTCAGCCTTCCAAAAACACTACTTTTGTGCACATCTTTATTTTATCGTTTTATCATTTTAATTTCAGTCTGCTCACAATTCGCCCAGGCAGCTAAATCTATACAAAATGGGACCTTTTAGCTAGCCAGTATCAAAGTATGAAAAAATTAAGACAAACAAAAATGTTTGTTTGCATGTTCACCACAAGTACGTGTGGTTAATTACAGGTTTGATTCCTTGCTGAAGGTTTGTATTTGGTGTTTAAACATCTCAACGTCTGTTTTATTGCCAGAAAGCATAACGTTTATTCAGATTTTTTTGCATATCTAATTGTCTGGTGGCAGGATTGCCATCTATCATTCACATGAATTAAGCTCCATTATTCAACAAAATTGTGACGCAATAATTTCCATGCGTACATTTTATTTCATGATGACACCCTGAGTACCATTATGGCGGGATAAAGTAACGACGTCAAAATGTTAAGGCATTTGTGATTTTGTATTAAAACTGTGACGCATTTATGCTTGCATTTACTTGTGCAAAATTCATTTTAACCAGTATGTATTTCACCTTTTCAGGTGAACCTTTTAAATGTCCGTCATGTTGATACAACGACCAGCAAAGTCCTTACATTTCCAGTTGACAATTCTGTGAGCGACATTGTCATTTTCTATACGGGGACAGTCTCTGCATCACCTATCATTACGATTTCTGATCCATCAGGTACGCAAATTATGTCTTACTTTTTTGTTGTAATGGGTTCTAGACGTTTGATTGCAATCATATGCATATGGGTGGGAAAATTGTATTCTAACCTACACTCTCTATTTAGAAACTATATTGTAGAAGTAAATTGATGTTTCCAGATTTAACCATTCACCAAGCAGTCACTTTTCATCTCACATTACCCTAAATAATGAAAACTACATTGCATGAGAGTGACGTGAGGGGTGAACATTGCAGTTGTCAAACAATTAACAATCTCGAATTAAAAACACAGTATTAGATTTAAAATACCCCATGAAGCAGTGGTTAACTTAAAATATTCGTAGATTTAAATTTAAAACAATAACACTTTCAGGATATACACATTCACCATTCACAATTTCATTGTACACACCATGTTTTCAGTCTACCACATTTTAAAAGAGCAAACGCTTAGCTTAAAAGCTGTCTTCATTCACATTCATCATCACATTTTTACGATTTTATTGAATTTAAGTTTATGATATAAACTTAAATTGCATGGATGATCCCATTTAGACAGTTGGCCAGCTATTTTACAAGGGATACCCATGGTGCATAAACAGAGCAAAGCAAAACAAAGGCAAAAACATTAATATTGTAGAGAACGAGTACAGGGTCCTAAAGGAATATTGTCCAATGAACAAACGAGGTATCTAATGGTTGTAAACAAAACACACGGGAATCAAAAAACGGTACAATATAAGCGACCAAAAGGTTCCAGAAAAAGTTAGGTACATGTGCAAGTATGCTCTGTGTTTTGGTTTAATAAATAAGTAATGAGGGAGAGTGAAAAGAGGAAACCGAGCTGCAGATGAGTGGTAAGGGTATTCCAGAAACATGGATAAGCAAGGCAGAAAAAAACTCTTTAGTAAACAAAGTTTAAGCAAATGTAATTGTTTGCAGGAATCAGGAAGCACTTCTGAGGCTTTGGGAGGGAGTTATATGAATTAAGTGTTGCACACTGTAAATGAAGGACGTAGGCAGTTGCTCCAAATCGAGGGCAAACACATTTATTGTGATAATCTGTAAAATGCAACAGCACGTGTGTTACACACATGTACAGTATGTCATTGTCCATGTTTCTGGTCTATGTGTCATAGACAGTATGCAACTATTGATTTACTGACCGGAGATGGGAGAATGCAATTTGGTTTACATGCAACAGTTCAAATCTATTGAGAAACTAAATGATGAACAAAATGGTATCACTCTAAATAATGAAATAACGATCAGTGCAATAAATAATACACTAAACATTCGGGGCAAAGTAAACAACCTATCTTAAACGACAAGAACACGATGACGTCTGCCTGGGACACACAACAAATGCATACATTTACACACAACATTGATACATTACAGACAGCTTGTGATAGGTATACATCTGCAAGATAATAAATATTAGATTTTTCGTTTTATTATACTCTTATCACTCACCCCATTACTCTAACCAATCTCCGTGGTGTGTATGTGTGTGAATGTGTGCATTTTTTTACCCCATAGGTACAATGAATAGTGCAGTTGCAGGAAATACAACACTTTTATCGACCCAAGTATCTGGAAGCACTTTTATCATTCGCTTAAAGGAGCCAAAAATTTGTGGAGTTTGGAAAATTCAGATCACATCACCGGGAACTTCAAGTTTACGTATCATCGGTAATGAAAGTCCTCGAACACCTCAATCTTCTGTCCTACCAGGAATTTTTATCCTACCAACATAGGAGCATAGACACTGTGTAACATCTAAGTTCGGACACTTTGAACTTCAATTGCGGACAATGTACTTACTTTTCGATTTAAAGCTTTCGTGACTGCAAGGATTCATCTTCTTTGGTTCTTTCGGTAAAGTCACGTAGAATGAGAATAAAATAATAAATTGATAAAATAAAATAACACAATAATATTCTCATTCTACGTGACTTTACCGAAAGAACCAAAGAAAATGTACTTACTGTATACTTACAGAGATGTTGTGATAGTTGGGCAAGTGTACAGGATGAAGGAGGGTGGGTTATTGACATAGGCACAGGGGTGGCACCCAGAGGTTGCCAGACAAAAGACCACATTGTAGTTGTGATGAGTTTTGTGTCAACTGCCATGGCCGTAATGTCGCACCTCCGACTAGCACGATTGGCTACCTATGGTGCATAAGAAGTTCAACATAATACATATATGTCACTGGGACCTTTACAATAACTGTGATGTGAACAACTTAATACTTATGTTGTTCATTCAGATTAGAACGCCATATTTAAATTCAGTGGACCTAATGCAATCGTGCACGAACAAAGGCAATACTGAAATGTATTACATAGACAGCATTGACATTAAACCCATGATAGCAGTTGGAGGTAATGACCACAATGGAAAGGACATTCCAAGTGGTGGTCACAACAAAGATGGAGCAACTTCCTATTGTTATAAATGCGATTGCATATGTAATATACAGCAAATAAACATGCATGGATTGCTTTAGTTATTTCATTTGATGCATTTTTGTTGTAATGTATATATTGGGGTTGCGAGGTGGTACAGTGGTTAGATCACTGCACTATGAACCCGGAGACCTAGGTTCGATTCTTGGCCATGGCTAATGTATGGTCAAAACCAGATGACTGACCTGGTATTGGAGTTTGTTTGACAAAGGGGTAATTTTGCCCATTATCCCCCAGGTACATCAACATGTGCTGCTTCTTGTGACTTGTTGAGGATGTTGCTGTGTTATAATCCTGGCGATCTGAGCTTCATTGCCCTAAAGAGTTAACATCGGCTGTGAGTGATATCTCAACCCAGCCTTTAATGTGTACCTGTTTCGATCTATGAACATCAACTCAGAGAAAAAAAATGTGGCCATGTTTGTATAATAATACCGTACAATTTCGTGTCTCGCCTTAATCAGGACTTAGTAACAATACTTCCCACAAATATTCCATGGTGCAAAATGTACGTTATGTCATTACGCCTATAATGGTTTGTTATATTTGTACACTTTCAGGACAAAGCTCTTTGAATTTCATCTACAAGTTTGGAGTTGAAGATGATGTCGGGCCGCACCCTGGTATAAGGGTTATCACGAATAAACCATCAACAGGTTAGAGCATAAATTCTCATATATACGCCTACATAAACACGGTGAGGCCTCTACCCACAAATATTACAAGTTTGGATGCAAACTAAATGCATAGCTTGTCACCCAACACGGATTTTATTGGAGGCTAAAGTCTATTGTGTCCCCCAAGTCTACCAAATGCAGGAGTGGAAGGCGGCCTTACCAGTATCTACCTATCCACTCCCTCATGTTTGCCTGTGTGGCAATCACTTTGAATACTGAGACAGAATGCAAGACTTTAATAGATGTGGCAGTAACAAAATACATTAAAATTACAATAAATTCAATTCTTACCAAATCTGATTTTGGTTCGTGTTGGTATGATAGTTTGGTGATGGTATGATTTCTACTTCCACTAGTCCCAGTTACAGTCTGTCTGTGATGTTATAGTGAGTAGTTGAGGCCAAAGACCAGAGACATCATTCATATTCCAATGTCAGGCCACATCCCCAGAACACAGAAGGCGAGGCTCAGTTTTATTTAGAACAATATAAACAACATAACATACTCCATACTAAGTCTGATTGCACACAAACGTTGCAGAATTACTTAATTACATATTCACATCATGTTAAATTATCCTCTCATGTTACATACATGTGTGGTGCCGCCGCAGCGGAGCCACTCCGTCGGGGGCCGTACCCACCACCGTGACACCACCACCGAGGGGGGATGACAACGCCGACGCGGGGGGCCCTCCCCGCCCCCCCCCCCCCCCGAACACACACACCCCACGTAGAGCCGGGAAGGAAGGTCGCCTGGCCGACGGGTTTTTTTCCAGAAGCCCCTAATGGGATTAAGCTTCATGGTCTCCTGCGGCCAGGGAATTGGACGACCTGCCACCAGGGCTAGTCGTCACCGCGGCGCCATGGCCTGATATTGTAATGGCATGGTCACAGCAGGGGCAGTAAAAGCCACCGCGGATGCAATCACACACACACGGCACAGGGCGTGGGAACAGCGGTACGCCTTGTTCATAGGTAAAATCAGGGACCCCAATAACAATAGGACCGGAGCATTCCGAAATCTGAATGGACAAGGCAGCACGGGGCGTGGGATCAGCGGAACGCTTTTGTTATAGGTAAACGTTACGGAGCAGAATGTGAAAGAGACGAGAATAACTCAGCCCCTGATTAGACAAAGGGCACGGGTGGAAGAAGGAAATCACCAGGAAAAGCCTTTGCGATCGGGTGGATAAAAGACGGAGGCTTAGCGTAGCCAAGGCAGTTCTTATTCATATCATCGCGGTCCACGGAGCAGGAGAGTCAGCCGTTCGAGACGTCCATGTGACGAGCTCCAGCGCTGCCAAGCTCAACCCTCTACGGAGACGTTGTTGTATCCTCAACTCTTGTAACTCCATTTTAACCCACTTCCCAATGTGGTATCGACTGCAAACTTGGTATACTTATGTCATACTGATGACAATACTATATTATATCATAAAAAAATCTATATTTTTAAACGTTCTTTGTTATATGTTATGTTTCGACTTGGGTCTAATTGTCCACGGTAAACTCACGTTGGCTGTAAATCACCACGGTCCCTTACGTTGTGGCAAGCTTAGGGGCCACTTCCTGGAGTCGTAGAGTTCTACCATTACTAGTACGGTACAGTCCATTAAAGCGTGTTTTTAAAATAGTATTTTAAATATTACTTATTGGTTGACAGACACTCTTTACACTGCACAACCAGGGTTAAGATCGTCATGGCTGTCTTAAACAATGTGACCCAGACGAGAGCCCAAATATATGTTTTTTTATTGAGACTGCCTTCCAGAACCTTCCCTGTCCTTCCTCCACCTCATGGTAACTCCTGCCAATCTTCTAACTCTGTTCTCCCTCATTTGTGAGGGTCGGCTCGGGCTTGGGGAAATATTGTCTTTAAAAAATAAAATTTTAGAAACTCTGAAAAGCCCAAACCCAAACTTCCTCAAACAGGAGCCAATGAGCATGAGACAGAGTCCAGTCAGAGCTTTGTTTTCTAAGTAATTTTCTCAACCTCACAGGAACAGTTTTACAAAGAAAGTTGCAGTTGCTTTATTTTCATGAACCGTGAACCTGCCAAATAAAAAGAAAAATGGGATGTGAAATTGATTTTGGGGGTCACAGGACAATAGACAAAGTCAACGTGAATGGAAATTCAATAGTACTTGGTTAGGTTTAACAAGATCAACACAGTCTGAATAGTTAATCATGAAAGTTGACTCCATTGCACAGCCATGGAAGTAGGGGAGTGATCCTTGGCTCGGGGCCACCAAAATTGCAAATTCGCAGGTAACAGACAGAGGTCGAGCAGGACTGCACGGGTCGTAGACTCGCAGGCCTTGGCACAAGCCAAACTTGGTGAACCTACTGGAATCTTCCCTTCTCCATTGTACCGCGTGACTCCCTTGTTATCTTGTCTGCCACCTTCTCTAACTCTACATACACTGCACTCAACCTGTCCTCTCTCCCTTCGTATGCTGCCTTGCTACAACTTTTCCTAGCCCCTACCCACTCAATACTTACCCTCAAAACCATAACAGGGCACATCGCTTCTCACCACAAATCTCAAGCTTCACCTCTCTCCATTAATTATGACATTTACGTGGTCATAACACTGGTGTTGGTGTCAATTGAGTAGATTGTGGTGGTGGTGGTGGTGGTTGTATCCGTTTTAAAGTTGAGGTCGCATGAAGTGACTTTGGCCAATGGTACCCAGGTCTAGTATGTGCTACATATGATTATGACGATGATGGTTGGTGATTGATGGGCGAAGGTGAATAATGGTGAGTCATGATGAGTTTTGGTTTGTCAGTTATGGGTAATGGGTGATAGTGTATAAAGGTGATTGTGTTAATGAGTGATGGTGGCTTTGCAGGCGTGCCGCTATTGGTGGAAGTCACCATTACAGGCGAAGACACCAGCAGTGCTGTTGCTGAGACGCTGGCGCTGCTAGCACCTGATGGTCGACCTCTTCAAATTATTTTGTTGAACGACACCAGCGCAGGAGACTATATTGGAAGGATTGACTCCCTCCCAGTGGACGAGTTCTCTGTGTACGTCAGCGGGAAGGACTCGAGAAATGACACCTTTGGTCGAGTATTTCCAACAGTTTCTCAAGTCACCACGATAACACTAGAGGTAATTTCCCATCAATGGCTTCCCTACTCTCTGGATTTCTCCACAGTGAAACAAACAATTATTATTTTAACCCATTATTTCTCATACCTGAGAAAATACTAATGAAATCAGAGAATACAATGCAAATAACACAAAAATGATTGCAGACGACATAGTCAACAGTGAGTACATCCGGTTATCACGCTTTTCTACGTACGGTGTGAAAGAAGTTCAACATATATACATACAAAATAAAGGAGGTTTATGATTGTTAATTCACGAATGGTTTGCTTAAGGAAAAAAGATGGGAGCATTATACACGATAGGGATAACATCTAAATTAGGAATGGAATTCTATGCAGATCACTGGCAAAAAGATAATATATTTCTTGCCTGATGACAGAGGCTTGTGTTGCCCCCGAAACGTCGTGATTTAGTTTATTTTATTTCTACCTACGTAACTTTACCGAAAGAACCGAAGACTATGATTCCTGTAGTCACGAATGCTTCAAATCAAGAGAGAATCTATATATATCCCTGAGATTTTTTTTCAGAAGGAAACTCCCAAAGTCAGAATTGAATACATAAACACCGCACTTCGCAGTATGAAAAATGTTGAGCTCATGGACTATTTGATTTCGCCATCAAAGAAATAGGAGTAGTTGTTGCAACAACATTCGCAGGTTCTAATCCGTTCACGATTTGAATCCTGGTGTATTAAGAAAAAATACTACATACCATCTGCTTCACAGTGACAGTGGTTGTGAAAGGTCCCTTGCCATCATTTAGCGAGTCGGCGATGTTATGCTGGAATGCAAGTCTTATACCAACTGCGAAAACTGAAAATTGTTATTTAGACTCATTGAGGCTTCGTGTGTAAACTAGCATAACAATATTGATCAATTAATTATTGCACATGATTGAATTGTTGACTGAGATCAATGGGAAAATAATCAACAGCACATTTTAAGGTCAACCAACCGCAGGAGCAAGATACATTGAGGATAGGTTTGCAGTGCCACGCTTTTGTGGAGAGCTGCTCGTCCCTTGGAGCAGCGAGGCTGGGTCCACAATCCCTAGAGTCCATCCTGTGCCAGCAATGTGCAGGACAACTGGATAGGTCATGCAGCATGAATGACAGCCCAAAATACCCACACAACTCACAGGGGATTAGTTCAATCTTAGTTGGCGCCACATCCAAACCTCTTCGCAATGTTTATTTTTATTTTATTCCAGCAGCCTAGCTTGTTATCTTGCCACGGTTTTACATTCGAGAAAGAGGAGGTGAAATTGGCTATGATAGAACGCTATCATCTGTTAGACTAATGCGAGCCCAGCGCCAAGCCATCTTCAGGAAATCCGAGTACGGTTATAATTACAATACATCAATCATAACGCAGTACTGTACGATGTAAAAATAAATATAATTGCATAACATCTTGAACCCATTTCAGCATTATAAAGTATAACATATGACCTTATAGAGCCACACAAATGGTCGGTTTGTCTCTGAATCTCTCACAGATTGTTTCACCAACGCCTTATCCAAAGATCGCCATTGACATCCCAACCTACCTTAATGTGTCCGTCACTAACTCTGGTGATGCTGACACATTCACAGCTACAGTCAGTGTGGGCCCTGGCTTCATTGTCAGTATTCTTCCTTCGTATAGGTAAATATGTTTTACTCACACCTATATACATTAAGTGTTTTTTTTTCAATTCCACTGCTATATGATGGCCTCTAAGCACCATGCAGGTCATAGAGGTTGTGTACCACGCTGGTCAGTACTGGTTGGTGAAGGCAGACAGCATAGACGTGGATGAGTAGACAGTACAGTGTAAGAATAGATGTTCTGCATTGTCCACTCAATAACTGTCTACGCTGATGTCTGCTTAGCTTCTGATATTAGGCACATTCTGGTCAATTGGTCATAGGCTATAGCTCTGAACCAATTGTAGATATATATATCTGAGAACTCCTCTTATCTATTTTAATGTGAGGTCCTATTATTCAAAGGGTCATCCGTGATTTAAACTACTTTATGCACGGATTAATCATAAATAATTGCAGATAGGGGAGTAATCTGTCACACAACTCCAATTATACACTAAAATGTCGCCCAAGCCCACAAGGGTAAAGTGTCTCCATGTTTTTTGTGTGTCTCTCTGTGTCTTTGTGGGTGTCTCTGTTTTGTCTGTGTTTATTCATGTCTTTGTGTGGCTCCAATTTTTTTGTGGATAACCCACGAGTGATTATGATATTGCAGGTAACTGGATGCCATTCCACATTAAATTCGAAGGTAATGGCAGATAATAGGAAGACTAGGGGCATGGATAATTGGGAGTTTTTGCCAATCCTATAGCTCCTTGAGAAAATATGAATTGTAAGGTAATAGTGTTGTAGATAAGAGGATTTCTGTAAATTTCGGTTATGAGACAATATTTACAATGGATAGATGTGCTTTATTCTTATCATTATTATTATTATTTAAGCTGCATATTCTGAGATTTCTGACATGTGTTGGAAGCTTATTAATTTAAGGGGGGGACTGTGAGGTGCACTCCAGCAACATCGTTGTGGCATCATTCCTATAATTTGTAATATATTATAAATACAGCTATGTCAAAAAAGTGCATGTGAAAGTATTATACAATTATTATTTTTCTCATTCATACATTTTCAAACTCTTGTCAGACAGCCTGGGATAAACAGCCGAGCGGTGTTTCTACAAAGTATAATATATTTCGTTTGTTGCATGATCCATTAAATTATGAAATAATATATAAATGATAAGGCTGACTTCATTCATAAACTTCAAATTGTTGGAGACGTCTCTTTTCTCAACAAGTTTGGCACAGGAAGCGATCCCAGGCTACTGTGATGAAATTTGCACTTCAATATCGGCAAATCCATCTAAATTTTGATTCAAATGCCTGACGGTCAAATGTATTAAATGTATGCCACTTCTTAAACTAATTCAGCTAGCATAGCAATTCATATGAGGAAAGGTTCGAAAATAAACAACTAATATTCTGAAACCACAAATGGCATTCTGAGGAAGAAGATTAATATGAAGGAAACGTGCTTAACTTAATATTGAATACACAGAACTCTTTAAAATTATGAAGAAAATAATGAGAATATAAATCAGAGATGACACACATTATTGGATGTGTCATAGCATGCAACGGGTGCATGAAAACAGCAATACGGAGGTTCATAATCGGCCATTCACAAATGAAACCCCTTTGAAAATCAAACTCGTGATCGAGATTAAACCCTCAATTTAGTAAATAAATATTATGAAGATTTCCATAGCAAAGCAACACAAATATATAGTTTTGGAAGCAGAACTCTTAAAGGATGAAGAAGAAGTTCCAGATTTCACACTTAAGCTCCACCCTTCACGGTCTGCAAAGTGGAAGACGCCTGGATCAGATGACATAACATCAAAAAGTGGGACCAATTCTTGGAACAATAATAGCAGCTTTCTTCACATTTTATAACACATGTCCAATAATGAAACAAAGAGGTTGATGAGAGTTTGGTGTGATCATTGAACTCAATTAGATCATGAAAATTCAGATACCAATTGGCCAAAATAAGAAAGTGTTTGATGATTGACATTTATGTCTGTCCTCTTAAAATTTTCAGGATATTACCTTAGTTTGGTCATATTTCCTTCATGTTTCCACTGAAATGTAATAAAACCCGGGTATTGTGCTGGCAGTCCTGACACTCTGGGTTCGAATCCGGGCAGCTGCCTGTGATTAAATTGGGTTCTCAAGTGTAATGTGTAGGTGTAAAGTAGTGATGCAGTGTTTGGGGCACTGCAATATGATATGATGCAGATGACTCGAGTTCAATTCCTAGCCAATTTTAACATCAGTGGCGTTACCTGATCAGCGTGGCAAGGTATGGTCAAATGACCCCTGTAACTGAGACATCATGGGGAGGCTATTATCCCACAGTGGATTGACAAAGGACTGTAAATCATCAATATTAATATTCATGTCTGTGTAACAAGTTTTAAAATGTGTTATTTTTTTTTTATTCCTGTGATGAAATCATTGTTTTTTTTGTAATTGTTATTAACTTGGATTGGTTGGTGCTTATGCAGATTCAACATCAACAGGAACAGCTCCGTAATTTTAACGCTGAAGCTAGAAACCAATTCTACAGTGGAAATCGGAACGATTGGCGCATTTTTACTGGTAGTTCACGGAGCAAACTCTACCTCCAACTTCATCGATTTTCAAGCTCAACTTCTAAAGGTAATGATATATAATATTGAAATGACAAAGCTGATCCCATTGACATATATTTTTAATAAATTGACTCTTGGCGATGAAATCAAATGCCATCTGGAGTGATTCTTTCTAAAAGTGATTCCTTGTAACGCCAGATACTATCAAAAACTAATATTTATAATGCGTGTGATCCTGATAATAAGCACTGTGCTTAAAGGTGTTCACGATCTTGCACCAGTTCTGTGTAGGCTTTTCAAGCTCTTATATAGTACGCACTCCGTATCAACAACTGGGAAATTAGCTCAGATCCATCCAGTCCCAAAAAGGGTGATTCATCTTGCATGTGTAATTATCGTCCAATCGCCTTAACACCATTAATATGAAACGTAGTAATAGTAAATGAGACTATCCTGGTCTCTTGAACTTGAAAGTGAGGAATATATAATCAATGATCATCTTCTCCATCACTTGGATTCATTATCATTTAGTGATCATCAGTTTGGGTTCCATCAAGCATGGTTTACGTGTATTCATTTAGCTTATTTTAACACGTAGGCTTTCGCGATCAATATAATCCTATTTACAGGTTTTGTTTTTTTTAGGTTAGATCGCGTAAATATAAAATTTTCGTTACTGTTGCCCAAGTGCTCTGTGCACACTTTTTGCTATGTATGAACCAGCACAACAAGTAAACATTCTCTCTATGTAAAACTTTGGTAGAAAACAAATGTAGCAATAACACTGAGTATGCAAAGTGCCAATTTCTGGAACGTAACTATAATCTTTGCGAAACATGTAATCAAGAATCAAAGCGATTGATTCTCCTGCCCTCATGAACGGCACCGTTGGAGTAAGCGTGTTGAATTAAACTAACACTTCAAGAGCTATCAACGTAAATATTTTTTTTCAATTAACAGTATGCGTCGGTTTATTGTTAGGCAAAGGGGAGCAACCGCACATCAATTAATTTATATACCATTACATTGATCCATAGAAGGGTCCAGTTTCACTTGCCCAATTATTATTTTTTGTGACTAATGGACGCTTTCCCTGCTCAAAGAGTTAAATTAAATATGTAGAACTAATCCGAATATTATTTGCCTCGCAATCATAGTACAGTAATAGAGCTAGTGTTACATTTTATGAGGGAGCGTTTTATTGTCACAGGTCACTGAGGAACTTAAATTTCCTCTGCAACCTAAAACACATTCATGCAGCATTGAATAGCTCCCAAAATCACTGAGCGAAGTTTGCTGTAGTCTTCTTGTATTGGATATGGGATGTTGTAGTCAGTGTAATTGGTCCTGCCACTTTCTGTCAGCTAGTTAACACACCTCCTTTATTATTCATGTTTTATGGGGAGGTCGGCACTCTCTACTTAACAATGTCATAGCATATTCTTGATTCTTTCGGTAAAGTCACGTAGAAGGGAAACAATAATTATCATTTTATAATTATTATTTTATCGTTTCCGTTCTACGTGACTTTACCGAAAGAACCAAGAATATGAATCCCTGCAGTCACGAAAGCTTTAAATCAAAATGTCATAGCAGCTGCATATTCCACAATCCCCTCACCATGATTGGGACGAGGGAGAAAATGATTGGGACGAGGGAGATAACTTCTGTTCCACCAACTGATATGTTTTATTTCTCTTCCTCGTTTTCCTTTGCTTGCTCCATGCAGAATCGATGTCATAAATTCTCCAGATCACGCTCTTATGATGTATCCCACATATGCTGTTCTTAGTCTCATTCGTTTCCAGAGTAACTCATGTATCCAATGTTCCCTCTCCATCCGAACTTTTTTACGTTCTAAATTACATTATTGTAAGACTTACATTGCGTGACTAGTCAAGCTGATTGTCCTGTGAGCTTTACATTCTAGGGTCGTGGGCTTTTGGGGAATTGGAAAGAACAGAAACTGCTCAATTTCCTCAATTCGATTGTTTCCTCATATATCTTATTTTTAAAAAATACTCACTAGTTCCCCCTTCCATTATCCTATTACTTCCAACATATCACTGGGTACCACATCCATATTGTTTCCTTTTTTAAACTTTTTAAATGTACATTTTAGGCTCGTGACACCTGGGTTATTATGCGTATTAACATAAGCCAGTATGGTCAACAAAGCATATCCACTGATGAAGGCAGCATATTAATAATCACGTATATTTGTTCTGCTCCAGCAAGGCAAAACAAAAGCCAACAGGACAAATCTATCTGCGTAAAACCTCATAAGTATGTATATTTAAATTAACGTGTATCTACCACGAATGTCCCCCCTCCCCTTTGCGCACAGTATGATGATGATTCATTTCCAACCTGTGAAATTATGGCTCAAAGAAAATGCCCGAAGATGCTCGAGGTCACGAAGTGCAAAACCAGCACGTGGAACGCGACCATCCAGTTCAATGACACTGGGTCGGGAATCAAAATAATAGATCCACCTGGTGACATGAGCAACATCACTGTCGGGAAGACGTTGACCAAGAGCTATTCCGGAGACTGCTGCAACACGGTGTTTAGCGTTAATGTCACAGATATGGCTGAGAACTTACGTGTGTGCTCCTACGACATGAAAGCATCAGCAGGGATTACGATGTTCCATATTGGCATTTGGCAAATAGTCATATTTACATTTGGCCTGGCACTAAGTGGAATTACTAATGTCATGTGATTTCAAATGTTTGACATGTGGATTACAAGCAAGACATGTGTCTATTTTGTGGGAGAAAATATTATTGTCCTCTTCATGTGTAGTGATATAAAATTTTCAACACAAGACCTGGCAATATATTTACACTAATTATGTGAGGTCTGATGCAAGTAATACATAAAATAGGGATCAGATAATGTTGTCTCCCCACACTTCAATACTGGTACAGGGATAATTTTACAGGGAACATTTAAAATGTCGATTTTTTTGTATTAATATTTTGAGGTGATCAATATTTAATATTGTGGGTATTGTAGCAAATGTGGATGGATGTGTTAAAAAAATATATAGACTACTGATCAAGCAGCTGTAATGAAGTAAAGTGCTATTGCCCCATGTCAGAAGTTAATGTGCTTGCATTGTTATCTCAGGAGAAACATGAACGAAGACCCGTGGGCGTGGCAAATTATGCTAAACTGTCAGAGAATATCTGGTCAATCACATATTGCTTTTATATATGATTATATGGGTTTAGTCCGATAAGTGGTTGATTTAATTGCCTTGAAAATAAGAAACACTGTGAATGTATCAGTTTTATGAATGGTTAGAATTTCTGTTGCAAATGGTGGAAGGGAGTGGTAAAAACCTACGCATTAGTGGCACAGCATGTGTTGGTCTGACTTGTCAAAACGTTGGGAGAACAGCTGTCTCTATTACCTCTATCTTCGCACAATCATGTGGTTTAATAACAAGAGCAAATACAATTTACTTTTGATTACTAGTACTTCATGCGGTGTTAAACAACATAGTGTGGCAGGTCAACATTAGGCAGTGCAATAAATCCATTCTTATCGTTTACTATGCTTCACGCCATTGCCAAGCAGCACTGGCCCGCATGCTGAAGCATGGTCATAAAATTCCCCCGACCCGCATGGCATGCATAGGGAGGCCCTCATTCACCATTGTTTTTAAAAAGGGCACATATTTGTGGTACTATGAAACAATCAAATACTCTTGAAGGTACAGAATTGCCCACACGTCTTATTCCCGACACAGTTTATTTGGGTAATTTAAAATGTGCCTGTATGGACTATTGCATGTTATTATAATGAGCAAAGTGAGACGATTGATATTGCCATCACCATCATTGCTGGATCAATTATTCCACACACCATGTTAAAATAAAGCAACAAAAACGTAGAAATGTAATGCAATAGTATTACACACGAGGTTCAGTATCCGATGTAATGCACCAAAATCATAGTTTTGCATGAGATTGTTTGGTTTCGTTTTTTTATAATAGAAAATAATGATTTTAACTTTGTAATGCGTTCACTCATTCTTCAAGAGAGAGACAGCTCAGAGGTGTGAGCAACCACAGACAAGCAGGAAAGGAAGCCGCAGCAAGCCGATTAAAAATTATCCCCCTTCAAGCTCTGCAGTCCTCTATATATGAAGGTGTTATCGGCCAAAATGTGGGTGGTGATTACATGGGGGAGAAAATCGGAGCACCCAGAGAAAATCTACACATGCGTGGGAGCAACACTCTATCCTATACAGATAGAAAAGGGGGAGTCCACAGTCTTGCCTACCACATTCTTCTGACAATCCAGGGTATGGCACCTCAACGTCCACGAGAAGGGAGTTTCATAGCATGTGTGATTCACCAACCTTCACTGCCTCGCTGACATACGAAAGAACAAGAAGAAGCTGCCTCCACAGTGCTGGAATAGAGGCGTGTGCCACCACCATCTGGCAAATTATGAAAGGCACTAATGGCCCCGGTGAAGAAAGGTAAACTTAAAATAAATTCACTAAATAATATGGTAACAAAGAAGAAGAGCATGCATATGCCTGGATTCGGTAACGCTTTCTAACATATGTTTGTTCTTAGAAGTACTTAATGTTATTCTATCAACTTTGATCAATTTGACTGGTTTTCAATCAGGTCCCAAATAGCAACACAACTATATACTTCGTGTGGTTGATGCATTCCAAAAAAGGGTGCACAAAGCGAAACTCGAAGGAAACCGCTGCCTGCTGAGTAAAGCATACATTACTGTACACTGTTGTTTTACAATGTGCAACCACATAGCCACATATGGGTGAGTTCAAACCGCAAATCGCGAATTTTGAGTAGAAATAAGTTAGCCACACGTACGCAAAATTGTAAAAACCAAAACCGCACAGAGATAGAAAACCCTAAACAAAAGATTCGTTCATATTGCATTACCTTCATGAGAGCGATCGTGATATCCGCCAATGCTCCTTCTCTACGCTGAAAGGCAGTGGAAAACAGTGTCACCATTTAGTCAAGCTGGATGCCTTGCTGCCGTTCTCTACTGGTCCGTGTGTCTTTTCTAAGCAAAGGTTTATCTAAAATAGACTTTCGATTCTTTAAATTTCTTCTGCAGAAAGTTGAATTCACCGACTGAGCAACCCTGTCTCTCCACCCACAATGGAACCTATCTTTAACTTGTGACTGGTTCTACAGCCCATACAACAACATGATGCTTCTACCTGGGCAACTCTGCAAAGTGTAAATGAAATCCGATTCGCCTCTTAAAAATACATACATCACGCTAAATGCAGTTATTTTACTTTGGGAAATATTTTTAAGGTATCCCCACGCCATGCAGGGGTGCAATTTTTTTTTACCATACTTGACCACGCTGGTCAGTGCAGGTTGAAGCCAATTGCAATGAAAGTGACCACAACAGCTAAGTAACACCGATGACAAGATCTGTTCATTTTCAGGGAAAGCATTCGGGCAATTGCACATTTGAAAAAAAAAACCACTTTGAAGCCACGGATAATATTCATGGCGAGTTATACCGGCTGCCCTCTTCCTCAACCTGCTTTGATCAGCGTGGTGAAGGATAGGCAAACATCTTCTTTGGTTCTTTCGGTAAAGTCACGTAGAATGAGAATAAAATAATAAATTGATAAAATAAAATAACGCAATAAAATTCTCACGATGTTTTGGCCACAACACAAGCGGCCTTCATCAGGTGAAGGGACGAGACTGTCTGGAGGACAGCGCTGGAGCGAATACAGCCAAGCTCAGACCGCGACCTTTAAGCTGTGTGAGAAGAAACAGAGTGCCTTGACAAAGGAATTAGCAGAGAATTTAGCATTGAAATAGCTGAGTGATTAGCTTGTGACTGGTCACAGAAATGGCTATGTTAAAGTCAAAGCCTACACATCTACAGAAGCACCTAGTACAAATCAAACAGGATAATTTAGCATTGAAATAGCTGAATGATTAGCTTGTGACTGGTCACAGAAATGGCTATGTTAAAGTCAAAGCCTACACATGTGAGCTATTAACAGTAACTGGGTATACACTACACTATATAATGATACTATATAGTAAACCAATAAAAAAACTAAAATATAAATTACCTCAATGTTATCAATAAACTCTATATATTCTCCAATCAGCTAAGCTACCAACAATAAGTCGTTATATATCACAATGCTATATGGCGAAAAAATGGGTGGATTCTTACCCTCAACTTTAGCACCACGGATAGCTACGAGCCCCGTTCAGACGGACGAGTTCATCCATGGTCGGAACGGAGGAGGGGGAGAGAGACAGCTGCGAGGCGCTGTTATACTCCATGCTGTAAACCATACCATCAACAGTGGTGTGAGAGGTATTAAGAGTCAATGCCAGCGAAAAGATAGACGTCAACAAAGTCGTAATTAATCGCAGTAACAGTTCCATTTCTGATGGTCTGAAATCCGTTTTAGCTAAAGGTCTAAACTTTGCTGTCACACCGAGACACATACCGGTTAATGATATCATTGCCCATGTCGACGTTGCACTCAAGGGCTTGAGTCACATCTCTGCAGACGTAGCAAGATCTGAAATCGCTGCAACCCTCAAAAACGCTAAGTTGCCACCTAGCAACATCAGCAAAGATGAACGCTTTGAATGATCTCAATTAAAAAAGAGAGATGATATTGTCATCCTCTCAGCCGACAAGGGCAATGCCACTGTCATCATGGACAAAACAGAATATAACAACAAAATTCAAGAACTACTCAACGATGGCAGCTATACAAAAATAAAAAGAGATCCCACCAACAGCCTGGTTACCAAAACGAACAAAATCATCTCTGATTCAACAGCATTAATTGATCAGACCAAACAGTTCTCGTTGAAACCCTCTGCTGCCAGACCACCAAGATTATATGGCCTTCCAAAGATACACAAAGAAGATACACCCCTTCGTCACATCGTCTCTACTGTCAACTCCCCCACCTATAAACTGGCACGTTTTCTTGCTGATATACTGCGACCTTTCACTGGAAAAAACACCTCTGCGGTACTAAATTCTACTCACCTGCTATCAACAATCAAAGGCATTTACCTGTCCCCAGATGACCTGCTTGCCAGTTTTGATGTGGTGTCCTTGTTCACCAAAGTCCCGGTACCTGACACCATCACTATCATTGAAGACCTGGTTCATCAAGGACTGCATACTGATGTACCCCCCCTGGTGAGACATTGCTTAACCAACACATACTTCACCTGGAATGGAACTTTCTACAAACAAACTGAGGGCACCCCAATGGGCTCCCCCCTATCTCCGGTTGTAGCCAACGTATTCATGGAAAAATTTGAAACTGACGCCATCCAGACTGCCACTCTACGCCCTACCTTATGGAAGAGGTACATGGATGACACTTTTGTCATCTGGCCACATGGCCAGCCTGCTCTAAACCAATTCCGCGACCACATCAATTCCATACACCCAGCCATCAGATTTACCATGGAGGTCGAAAAAGATGGCAAACTACCCTTTTTGGATGTTATAATTAAAAGAACACATGATGGTTCAATGAGCCACTCTGTCTACAGGAAAGCTACCCATACAGATGCATATTTGAAACCGAATTCCCACCACCATCCATCCCAGAAGAACTCCCTCATCAAGACTCTATACCATAGAGCCCAATGCATTTCCGACCAGGAACACATTACCAGTGAACTCAAGCACGTACATCAGGCTCTCAGGGCTAATGGTTACTCCGACTACACAATCCGCAAAGCCATCACTCCAGTCATGAAGAAGGATCCTCTTGTGGAGCCACTCAAAACCATCACCTTACCCTACATTGCAGGGGTCACTAAAAATATCTCAAAAATCCTGAATAAACACAAGATCCAGGTCCGATTCAACACAGTACTTAAAATCTGTGATCGGGTTCCATCTGTCAAAGATACTGTTCCAGACATACAGTACCCGGGCGTTTACAAACTAAAGTGCCTCTGTGGTAGTAGCTACACTGGAGAAACCAAACGACATATCTCGGACCGCATCAGCGAACATAAAGCAGACTTGAAACACGGTAAAACGAACTCCTCTGCCGTGGCAGATCACTGTTATAATTCAGTGGGCTCACATGACATTGACTTCTCCAAGACGGAGGTTCTTTGCAAACCAACCGGGTACCATGAGAGATTCGTTCATGAGGCCATTCACATATACAAGCACAGAGACAATTTCAACTAAGAAGATGGATTCTGGCTTAGTAACCATTGGAAAGATGTTTTAAACCATTTCCGTTCTTAATTAATTGTATTTTACGATGACCTTCAGACCGCAGCTCTTTCGCTGGCATTGACTCTTAATACCTCTCACACCACGGTTAATGGTATGGTTTACAACATGGAGTATAACAGCGCCTCGCAGCTGTCTCTCTCCCCCTCCTCCGTTCCGACCATGGAAGAACTCGTCCGTTTGAACGGGGCTCGTAGCTATCCGTGGTGCTAAAGTTGAGGGTAAGAATCCACCCATTTTTTCGCCATATAGCATTGTGATATATAACGACTTATTGTTGGTAGCTTAGCTGATTGGAGAATATATAGAGTATATTGATAACATTGAGGTAATTTATATTTTAGTTTTTTTATTGGTTTACTATATAGTATTCATTATATAGTGTAGTGGATACCCAGTTACTGTTAGCTCACATGTGTAGGCTTTGATTTTAACATAGCCACTTCTGTCACCAGTCACAAGCTAATCCCTCAGTTATTTCAATGCTAAATTCTCCTATTTGATTTGTACTAGGTGCCGCTGTGGATGTGTATGCTTTGACTTTAACATAGCCATTTCTGTGACCAGTCACAAGATAATCACTCAGCTATTTCAATGCTAAATTCTATGCTAATTCCTTTGTCAAGGGATGCCTCTGTGGATGTGTATGCTTTGACTTTAACCTAGCCATTTCTGTGACCAGTCACAAGCTAATCACTCAGCTATTTCAATGCTAAATTCTCTGCTAATTCCTTCGCTCCAGCGCTGTCCTCCAGACAGTCTGGTCCCTTCACCTGATGAAGGCCGCTTGTGTTGTGGCCGAATCGTCGTGATAATTTTATTGTGTTATTTTATTTTATCAATTTATTATTTTATTCTCATTCTACGTGACTTTACCGAAAGAACCAAAGAAGATTAATCCTTGCAGTCACGAAAGCTTTAAATCGAAATATAGTCAAACAGCCTCCATGACCGTGTCAGAAGGCCTTCATCCAACAGTGGGTTGATGTGCTGTTTCTCTTTTTGTACTTGCAACCCGCAAATTCATCCATCCTAGCCAGCCACCAACACTTTTTATCTGATATAGAGCTTTTGTCTCTCTCCACCTTTCTCTAGCCTTCTCTGTGCGGTATATTCAAATTTATCTCGATTTCTTGCTGTCTCAGTTTCTCTATTGCTCTTCCCTTTTCTATCTCTCACTCTATATCTCTCTATCCGTCTCCCCCTCCACGGTAGCAAACCCACTTCCCTCTACATATCACTCGCTCCCTGTTTCTCTCT